AAACTAACGAAATTTTGATTGGAGAGGTGAACACGCTTGGACAGACTCTTTATATTTTCAACCTCAATTGCAACTGCTTCCTGTTTTGCTGGTCACATTGCTGTGATTTTATGCTTTTATTATTGTTATTTTCTTGTTAAAGGAACCTATTTTTCTATGAAACAAATACCTTTTTTTTCCAGGCATTGAAGCAATTACCAAGAGAGAAGGTACAATTAGCCACAAAATTTGGTGTTGCAAGATGGGACGCAACTGGTGTCTTAATAAAAGGTACAATTAGCCAAACTTCCGGTGCAATTGACTAAAACCCTCTGGCAAAAGATCACCTGCCACCTCATTTATTGGAATCGTGTTGGAGATTTCTTTCAAATTTTCTTTAGTGAGCTTTATTTTCAGTGAATCAATGTTATTATCAAGATTCTTGAACTTTGTTGTTCCTATATAACAATGTGAAAGAAAGGGTCAAAGCTTTGGTCCTACTGCTATTTTCTAAACAAGGAAATTTGGTGCAAAGATTCATGCCAATTCTTCTACTTCTGCTGTGGATTTTAGTTGAAGTATCAACAGGGTATCAAGAAGTTACAGATTACAGAATGTGACTCACCGGGAATCGGTGCTACATTGTCCCCTTGATGAAGAACCCAAGCAAGTGCTAATTGTGCAGGGGCACATCCATGCTTCTCAGCCAACTTCTCGATTTTCAAATATAAGGTCTTGTTTTTGTTCAAGTTCTCTACTTGAAACCTTGGAAAATGTTGCTTAAAAGTAAAAGTTGGCAATCAGTTTACCATACAAAGATTAAGGCTAGGTTAAAGACAAATGAGTTAGTTCCCATACTAGTAAACTATTTGCAGGCAAGGTTTCCACCCCTCCTTTTCCGCCAAAGAAACTGCGACCGAGAGGGCTATATGGAACAATCCGAGTTCCAAGTTCCCTACATAGATGAACACATTTAGATATGCATTCACCATGATTTGGCTGGCAGAAGTGAAAGGATTAATGGTTGGTAGCATGTGCTTATTGAGTTTCTACTCTCAAACCCAGGAAATGAAAAAAATAGTAGGGTTATAGTTTGGATTTGAAGTTAACTAGTCTTTTTTCAATTCTGATTATTCAAGATACACGAACAAACCTGGAAAGGGGGACTATTTGTTCCTCGATATCACGAGTCCACAACGACCACTCCATCTACGAAGCATTTATCGGATGAACCACGTGTGCTCTCTTTATGCTTTCAGGGCTAGCATCAGATAAGCCTATGTACTTTATTTTCCCCTCTTCCACCAACTTCTTGAGTTCAGACATCTAAAGACATATATTTCAACCAGTTAAAGATCAATATATCACTTGGTATTATGTATCTAAGATGATTGCAGCACTTACAGTATCCTATAGAGTATTGGTGTCAACTTTGTGCTGGTAGTAGAGATCAATATAGTCCACATCCAGACGCTACAGGCTAGCCTCAATACAGGCACAGACATATTCAGGAGTACCATTTATTAGGACACCGGTTGCGTTCACTTTTGCGATACCAAATTTTGTGGCTAACTGTACCATCTCTCTTGGTAATTGCTTCAGTGCCTGGAGAAAAGGTATTTGTTCCACAGAAACAGAAGTTCCTTTAACAATAAAAATAATAATAATAAAATCATAAAATCACATCAGTGTGGCATGCAAAACCAGGAAGTAGTTGCAATTGAGGTTGAAAATATAAAAAGTTTGTCCAAGCATGTTCACCTTTCCAATCAAAATTTCATTAATTTTGGGTCCATAGATATCTGATGTATCAAAGAAAGTGATTCCTCTATTGAACGCGTGCTTGATAATCGATATCCCAACTTCTTCAGGTACAGGGTCGTTGTAACCTCCAGTAAGCCCCAGACAGCCAAAATCTAGCTTCCAAACCTACCAAAGAAAATCATGTTTTCTTAATCCAAAATTCTACAGTCTGCAAATTCTACAGTTCAACTGAAAATAGAGGAACAGTTTTAAAAATGATAAGAGTTCAGGGCCTATATGCAACTTCGAAACAGCTTTTCACATTAACTACTGTAAGAACAAAATCTAACCTCAAGCCCTTGTGCTCCCAGTTTCACTCTCGGAATCTCAACAGTCCGCTGCTGCTCAGCCATTTACTGATCCTTTTTTGTTCTTTCTTTTGTTATGAGCTTAAGGTTTTCTTGTTAGCGTACAACAGACAAAGAAAAAACTGAAGTACAAAAGATTTAGCAGGCGGATATTACAAGTGTTTTGTTGAATTGTCAACTTGGTGACACCACTATATATATATGTCATCCATTCTTATTATGTCACCCGTTAGGCAATCCTTTTTAACTGTTTCGTTGCAAATTAGTCCTAAATGCCACACAGTCATGTATAGTCAATATATAGTCTAATTTTTGAACCAAAGTATTTATCCTTTTATGATTGTTGGATGGGGTTCACTTTGAGTAATCCAACTTTTATATTTCAGATTTTTTTTAATGAATAACTCACATACGATTCCAAAGCTTTTAAAGCTAAACTTTCATGGTTCCCTCTTCATATATTTGGTTCAATTTGTGAATTGCACTAACACGTTAAGAAACTAGGAGAAGATCATCCTTGCATCTAACTTCACGAAAACATGGACTTTTATATGCAACAAAATTTTCCCAAATTATGCTTAGTTTTATAGTTTCCAAGAAGCAGATTGAGCACTTTTGTTTTAGATACAATTTCCTCATCTAACTAAAACAAGTTTCATGCAATAGTTTTTTAGCACAAAATTTAGTCTTTGGTAATCAAAGAGCCTCTAAGTACCAAAAAGTAAAGCTAATTGATGATTCTAAATATACAGTTCGGATTAAACTTCAAGGAAATCACAGATTGAATAAACAAAGTTAAAACAAAATCAGGAATTGAAGTGAAATGAGTCAAAATTTTAGGCTTATGGATCTCAAAACAAACCAAGAGATATTAAAGAATTAAGGGAGAAAAGCAGCAGAACGTGAACATGGCTCAAAGATTAGTCGGATAATCAACTAATCTTGACCGAATGAAAAAAAAATACCAAAAAGAGATTAGCTAACATAATAATCCCTAAAAATAAACCCTAAACTATAAACAAAATCAGGAATTGAAGTGAAATGAGTCAAAACCACAGTCAAGATTTTACGCTTATGGATGTCCAAACAAACCAAAAGAGATTGAAGAATTAAATGAGAAAAGCAGCAGAACTTGAACATAGCTCAAAGATTAGTCGGATAATCAACTAATCAATCCAATCGACCAAATGAAAAAAAAAACATAAACAAAACAAAAGCTAAACCGTGATTCGTGAATAAGAAGAAAACATACGATTTACCTTGCAGAAAAAGGAAAATCACAATGCGCCTTTTCCCTCTATACACTCTCATCATCCTCCAAAATTGATTCAAGATCTTTACGGAGTTCATCTTCAAGATTTTTTAAGTAGCTTGAATCTCTTTCTATGAGGACCCTAATATTTCACTCCTTTAGCGCTACTTGAAGATTCGTTAAAGAAAACTGAGGATCAGAGAGGGAAAAGAATGGGGTTTCTCTCAGTACACATTGGCGGGGCTAATGGCTTCTGAGAAATCTGCCGCTTTGCTTCCGGCGTTCCGTTCGTCTCTTCAAAGTTTTCTTCTCTCACTCACTCTTCTCCAGCTTGTTTAAAACCCCTTCGGTTTTTGATGGACTGGCGTAAGCTGTTCTCGTGCCCCACTGGAAATCAGTTGCAATACTTTCCCCCAAATTCTCGAGAGATGGAATTCCAACTGTCCATCCACCTCCAGAAGTGTTCGAAGGCGGTATTGCTGAATGGAGTCTTTCGCTTGTTGGGCAATTTTTAGGAGCTGCTCCCAAACTCGTTTCCCTGCAACAGATCCTCGATTCTCTGTGGAGAAAACCTGAGCAAAACTGCAGGTCAGCTATGCTGGTAACAATCTTTACATATTTTCGTTTAGTTCAGAACAAGCACGGGATTGGGTATTGGAGAATGGCCCATGGCACATCTTCAAAAAACCCCTAATCCTAAGGAAATAGGTTCCTAACATGGCAAAGTTGCATCTCGATTTATCTAGAATTCCAATCTGGGTACACTTATATAATGTTCCTTTAGAATTATTTTCATGCGAAGGCCTTAGTTATATTGCAAGTGCCATAGGTTACCCCCTCTCAATGGATTCTATCATTGCCACGAAATCTAGAGTAGAATTCGTCAAAGTGTGTGTTGAAATTAGGGCGTCAGATGCTATTCCCGAGTCTATTGATGTGGTTCTTAATAACGGTCAAACAACTTCGATTGCTGTTGAGGTGCCGTGGATGCCTCCAAGCTGCAAATTCTGCAATGTGTTTGGTCATAGTGTTAAAGGGTGTAAGCATAATCCTAATTCTAAAGCTTCAACAATGGTTTGGAGGAAAAAAGATATTGTCACTCCAGCCACCACGGCTCTAGAAGTTGTTTGTCCTGAAGGAAATCAAATTTTAAAAGCTGATGGTTCGAATGTTTCTTTGATCCAATCATTAGAGGATAATGTTACAGGAAACCAAATTTGCATAGGGGCGCAACATTCAGTAAGTGATTCTGATATCTCGGGTGATTCCAATAAACCAGATTCCCCCACTGTCATCATTCAAGGAGCCGATTCTGATCTTAATGTTAATGCTGAAGGAAACCCGAAACTAACAGATCATCCAGGCAGTTTTGCTGATTGCATTTCTGCAACTACAATTCTTAATAAAAAAAGCATAGGAAGAACTGTTAAAGTTCAGAATGCATTAACAGGGTCAAGCAACATATATGAACTTTTAAACACGATTGATGAAACACAACTTTCTACAGAGAATCAAGGTAAAAAAGTTAGAGCAACAACCTCTGGTGTTGCAGTTTTGTTAAAAGAACTCAGAACTAAAAAGAAGGCTCACCTTGACAAATCTAAGGGTTCTTCAGGAGGAAGTAAGGGAGGGGACTCGGGCTCCTCAACCCAGGGAAGATGATCATTTCATTCTGGAATGTAAGAAGATTGAATAATCCTCTAAAACAAGGCCAAGTCCTTCGAAGGGCAGCCCAGAATAATGTAGATATTCTCTGTTTGTTGGAAACTAGAGTGAAAGCTGAAAAATCAGCAAATATTTTAGCTACTTCTTTTGAGAATTGGAATGTTCTCACCAACTATGAATTTGCAGTGAATGGTAGAATTTGGTTTCTATGGAGGAATGGACTGGATTTCTCCTTATGCAATGCAACAGATCAGAGTATCACTGTCAAAGGTCGGTTTAAAAATGTTCCTTTCATCATCACCGCAATTTATGGTAGTAATAACGGTATTACTAGAAGACAGCTTTGGCAAGAACTCCGGCATCTCGATTCAAATTTCAGTGATATACCTTGGCTCTTGGGAGGGGATTTTAATGTCATCTTGAACAATTACAAAAGCAATGACCAAGAGTTTACGGGTATGTTCACTTCTTCTGATATGCTAGATTTTCAAGAAATCATTCAGGACTTACAGTTACATGATCACCCTTACTTTGGTCCTACTTTCTCTTGGAGCAACAAACAAAGTGAAAATTACATTGCTCGCAAGCTTGACAGAGTTCTCACCAATCCCATTTGGTTCGAATCTTTTCCTCACTCTTCTATGGAATTCTAAGCTCCTGGTCCTTCTGATCATTGTATGGCAGTGGTTGATCTTCACAAAGAGGCTCATTCTAATAAGCCCAAACCCTTCAAATTTTTCAACTGTTGGACACTTCATCCCGGGTTTCTAAATATTGTTAGTCAATCATGGAGTTTGGCAGCTCAAGGCAATCCTATGAAGTCTTTATTCTTAAAGCTTAAGCGCCTCAAAGTTAGCCTTAAACAGCTCAATAAAGACTACTTCAGTGACATCAAAGCCCGAGTTAGGAAAAAGAGATAAGAACTCGAAAGGCAGCAAATTCTTACGTTAAGAGGAGTTGATTCTTTTGATAAAGAACTTGAGATGCAGAGAGAGCTCAAATCTTTACAAGAAGTTGAGGCAATGTTCTTAAAACAAAAAGCTAAATTGCATTGGCTTAAGGAGGGTGACAAATGCACAAAGTTATTTCACTCGATCATTGCTACTAAGAACAAGAGACAGACTATAAGGGTTCTTGTCAATAATCGGGGGGAAAACTAGAATCTTTTGATGATATGTCTTCGGAGATACTAGAGTATTTCAAAACTCTATTAGGCTCCAAGGACCCTAATGTTATTGAATGCCCTCCTACACTTCTTAAAGATCTGATGTAGCATATTCCTTCTTTTGAAGAATCCGAAACTTTTGTCAAGGAAGTTACTAGTGATGAGATCAGAGAAGTTATTTTCAGTCAAGGTAATGACAAGGCCCCCGGTCCCGACGGATTTACTGCTCTCTTTTTCAAGAAAGCTTGGCCAGTGGTTGGCAATGATTTTATTAAGGCTATTAAGTATTTCTTTCAAGAATCTTATATCTATCCAGCCTTTAACGCAACCGTTATTGCTTTGATTCCAAAAAAGTCGAATCCTAGCAAAGTTTCTGTCTTCCGCCCAATTTCATGTTGTTCTGTTATTTATAAGACCAACACAAAGATTATTGTCAACATAATTACGAATTTGCTGCCAAGTATAGTTGACAATACTCTTCTCGCTCAGGAAATTGTTAAAGGATATGGGAGGAAGAACATTTCGCCTAGATGTGCACTTAAAATTGATCTTCAAAAGGCTTTCGACTCCATCAATTGGGACTTCATTCAGGCTGTTCTTAAAGCTTTGGATTTACCTCCTTTAGTCATTGCATGGATTGTATCTTGCTATACGGATGCTAGATATTCTATTTCTCTCAATGGAAGCTTGGTTGGATATTTCAAGGGAGCCAAGGGAATCAGACAAGGAGACCCTCTATCCCCTACGTTGTTCGTTCTGGTAATGAATGTCCTTTCTAATATTCTCAATAATGTTGCTATCAGAGGGATTTTTACCTTTCATCCTAAATGCAAAAAAAGTGGACTTACTCACTTGTCATTTGCTGATGATTTATTAATCTTTTGCAAAGGAAATCTTGAGTCTATTATGGGTGTCATTACTGTGTTGGACTGTTTCTATGAGTTCTCAGGGTTGAAGCTTAATGTAAGCAAATGCGAGATTTTCACTGCTGGTTATTAAAACCGTTCTCTATAGTGTTGCAAATTTTTGGTGCAGGCAGCTTATATTGCCTCAGTCCATTATCAAGAAGATTGAACAATTATGCTCCAGATTTTTCTGGAAAGGCTCGGACATTCCTGTATCTGGTGCAAGGGTGAGTTGGGGGAACATCTGTAAGCCTAAATCCGAAGGAGGCCTCGGACTAAAGGATCTCAAGACCTGGAATAAGGCTTGCCTAATTCATCTTACCAGGAAACTACTCGCGGGGGAAGGCTCTCTATGGGTTGCGTGGATCCATAACTATATTATTAAGCAACAAGATTTCTTTACCATGGATGAATACCCGAGTGCTACTTGGTCCTTCAGGCGAATGCAGAAACTCAGCAGTGCTGCTCAATCACTTCCGATCACAACAACAAAAAGTACAAAAGAAATCTGGGAAGTGATCCGTCATAAAGATACTAAAGTTCATTAGCATAAATTGATTTGGTACCCTCTCCATGTCCCAAAGTATAGCATTATCTCCTGGATGGTAATTTTGAATCACCTACCAACGAGGGACAGACTGCAAAGATTCAGGCTCGTTCCCAGTGATCTCTGTATTTTCTGCTCGGATACAAAGGAAACTAGAGACCATCTATTTGCTGAGTGCTCGAAGACTACTTCTATTTGGAGATCAATCCTCCAACTGTCCGGTTTGAACACACATTTCTCAACATGGAACAACCTGCTGGACTGGGCGATCGCATCATGGAAAGGTAAATCTTTGATTTCTAGTATTCTGAAGCTCTCATGGTGCGCCTTCAATTACACCATTTGGGAAGAAAGGAATAGAAGGATTTTTAGAGGAAGTTGCAGAACTGAGGAAGGAATTGTCAATGCTATTAAGGATATAGTTGGATCCATTCTAAGTAATAGGGATATTAATAGAACAGATAGCAGAAATTTAGCTCTTTGTACTCATTGGGGTATAGACTAGTTTTGTTGTTTGTTGTTCCCCGTCCTTGTTCTTTTGATTGAATTGTTTTTTGTAACAACTTACTGTTACTTTGGGTAATAAAAAATTAATTATCCAAAAAAAAATATAAGAGTCCTCCAAGCAAAAACATGAAAATGCACCAGCCGGGAATCAAACCCAAATATGTACCGTGGCAGGGTACTACTCTACCACTAGACCACTGGTGCTTTGGTGGCCAAAGACTTTAAGTATTTTTTTAAGTTGTTATTCTGTGCAGACAATAACATGTTAGTAGCAGAAACAATAGTGTTCAGCTGATAAACAACCTGTTTCATTATCAGACTATTAACTTTTCTTTTTCTATGTTTTAATGGTTCAAGATACACAGACTTTCTACAACCCTAAATGAAACATTGGGGGTTGAAATGTTTTAGGAAAAAGAATAAAGGTTAAAATAACTATTTAGTCAAACGTTAAAGAAAAATAGTTTTAAAAAATAAGGACCAAAATGATAATTTGCTACAACTCACGTACGACAAAGTCATACAGGCCTGCTTATTTGTTTTATTTTGGTAATGCAGTATAAAAGATTTAGCAGGCGGATATTACAAGTGTTCTGTTGAATTGTCAACTTGGTGACACCACTATATATGTCATCCATTCTTATTATGCCACCCCTTAGGCAATCCTTTTTAACTGTTTTGTTGAAAAAGACGTTGAAAATTAGTCCTAAAAGCCACAACAGTCATGTATAGTCAATATATAGTCTAATTTTTGGATCAAAGTAATTATCCTTTTGTGATTGTTGGATGGGGTTCACTTTGAGTAATCCAACTTTTATATGTCAAATTTCTTTTTTTGACCAATTCACATAGGATTCCAAAGCTTTTAAAGGTAAACTTTCATGGTCCAATTTGTGAATTGCACTAACATGTTAAGCAACTAGGAGAAGATCATCCTTGCATCTAACTTCATGAAAACATGGACTATTATATGCAACAAAATTTTCCCAAATGTTGTATTTAGTTTTCAAAAAGTTTCATACTATAAATTACAATGACCCCATTGTGAATCTCAAGATGAAAGAAACGTGCGGCTGAGAGGGAGGAAACATGTAAGAGTCCACTAAACCATTCCTTGCGGCAAAACAGCAAAGTAAAAACATGTTGACCAACTAGGAGAAGATCATCCTTGTACATTGGCAGTGTACTGTTCTACCACTAGACCACTGGTGCCTCGTTCAGAATTATGCTTCAAAAAACACTACAGCAGTTTAATTAAATTGTAAAAACAATAGAATTGATCAACACATTCAATCAATATACTTGTAACACATTAAAAGAAATCAACAAATTTAAGATAGTTTCGATAAAAAAAAACATTAGGTTTGAAAAGTGGAATTGGATAAACAAAAATTAAACTCGTTTAAAATATAAGTTAGATTCAAATTTCAATAATCAAGAGTCAAGTATGTTTGAATTTGTTTTCTGAATTTATATAGCGAAATTAAGTGTCTACCATCACACAGCAAATCATTCTTACAATAAAATACAACTTTTAACTAAAGTATCACTATAGCTTAGAAATTGTACAATACCAGCACTGCTTTGTGCTTCCTATAATGCTTCAGTTCCATCCATGGAGGGTTTTTTTTTTAACTCTTTTGTTTCCTTTATCTTCCTTGTGGATGGACAAGTTGAGAGAAGATGTCATCCTGATTGTTAAGCTCTTCATTCAATTCAATGTCACTGCCTTGGCTGCTGTTTCCTTGTCTTTGGCTTCTTACGTCGGAATCTCCTGATGCGGGAATGTCTCGGTCGATCAAACTGCCGGATGTATCCGAGCTTTCTTGCAGCTGAAGAGCAAACTCGAGGTTCCACAGGACATCTCCCATGTTAGGCCGCTCTATTCCTTGATCCGATAAGCATTTCACTGCTGTGTCTGTGAACTTCTGTAGACATTCTTGGTCTATTTTCCCTTTCAAATGAGGATCAATGATCTCTTCTAGTGTTCTGTTCTTGTGACAAAGGAGTGCCCAATCTGCAAGACTAACTTGTTCCTTTGGAAGGCTGGGATTCAGGACTGGTCGAGCGCATAAGGCCTCGAATAGGACGACACCGAAGGAGTAAACATCGGATTTTTCGGTGAGTTGCTGTCTTCGGAAATATTCGGGGTCTAGGTAACCGAAGCTGCCTTTTACCACCGTACTTACATGGCCTTGACTCATTTCAGGACCGGTTTTCGACAGCCCGAAATCCGAAACTTTAGCAACCCATTTTTCATCCAAGAGAATGTTTGTTGTTTTTACATCTCTGTGAATGATGGTGTATTTTGCTCCTGTGTGAAGGTAGTGAAGTCCCCTGGCTGCTCCAATGCAGATTTCCAATCTTTGTTTCCAAGAAAGATGAGGTTTCTTGTTGTTGTAAAGGTGTTCCCTAAATGTCCCAAGAGCCATGTAGTCATAAACCAAGCACATTTCACCACCATCCTCACAGAAACCAATCAGTGAGACCAAATGCTTGTGTCTCAGCTTCGAGAGCATCTCGACTTCGGTTTCGAACTCGTTAATTCCTTGTTCGGATGACGGATTGGATCGTTTGACAGCCACTTTGGTGCCTCCTTCGATAACTCCTTTGTACACCTTACCAAAGCCTCCGACTCCAATAACATGAGAGTCGTCGAAATTCTTCGTGGCTTGTCTGATTTCTGATATGGAGAAACGGCGAGAAAGGCCTTGAGCCAATGCCGAAGCATGGCTACTATTGCTCTTGGTTGTCTGGGAGGTTCCGAGCGGAAGCCAGCTCGACGTATGCGAGTCGAACCCGCCTCGTTTCCTCTTTCTGTAGGCGAGAAACGCCAGTGCAACCACCACAAAAGCTGCTGCAGCTCCTCCTGCAGCCCCTGCAATCACAAAGCTATGGTTGGACTTGGACACGAAAGATTTCATGGGCTCATTCCCTGCTTTGAGAAGCATGGACGATGGTTGCGGATTGCTTCCAGCCAAATTCTTGTTCTCATCATTCAACTTGAATATTTCAACTCCGTTGAGCAGAGAATCGTAGTACTGCGGTTTCGATTCGGTGGACGGACTCATTTGTATCCGAATCATTTCATCACCTGTGCCATCATTAACAGATATTGCATAATCTCTGTAAGTTGGAATACCCATTCCTCCTGTCCATGCGTATATATCGGCCGGAGTCCGATCAGCTTGCGCAGATTGATTGTTGATGTAAATATTGAAAACTCTCTGGTTCGCCATGTCATATTTGAATTCACAAAAATGTAATCTCACAATGTATGTGAAATTGGCATCAACCTGAAACAACCATGTCAGGTTGAACTTCAAGTTCAAATCACAATCCAGTCCCATTTCTCTAGCTGTCCTATAAACATCTTCGGGAGCCAAAGAACGAGACAACTGCTCGTAATTGATCTGAACATGTTTGTTCGCCTCAGTATGGATGCCATTTGCAGAACCGAAAATGTAAGGATCATCATTATACCAACTCCTCAAAAGGCCTCCGGAATCCTTGCTAGGAGGAATAAACTGTCCACCAACATTCAACCGAAACATCATTTGAAAATTCTCGGACGAAACATCGAGGTCGGATGAATCATATCCCACCACAGTTGTCTCGCCGAATAGATTCGGCATGGCGATCAATTCGATCCCGTTTACAAACGCGAAAGAGTCGGTGTACTTTGTACTAGGTGTAAAGGTGATGTTTAGAAACTCGGAACCCGAAGGTGCCAACGAATACTCTCGTACGAGATAAGCCTGCGTGAGGGCTTTACATGTGATTTCAGCACTGAAATTGGTCATCAGGGTGACTCCCCCAGCAGTCACCGAGAAAAATGAATTGCTGATGTTGAATTTGGGGTAAGCTGAAGGATAAAAATGAAACCTGACCAGGTATCGTTCCTTCGATCTTATCGGGAACCGATACATCGCCGGCGACGTAAAGATCCGAGCATTCATGTATGGGATTATCGTAAGAAGTGAAGGGTCTTGATACTCAGCTTGAAGTTGAGTTGAACTACCGGATGTTTTAAGGAACTTCTCGTCTGGTTCCCAGTTCCTTCCATCGTCATCTTTACCACCATTGGAACCACAGGCCACGGCCAAAGGCTTGCTCGAAACAAGAACAAAGACATTGAAACTGAGAGAAAACCAGACAATGGAAAGCAATAAACGTTGTCTGTTTTTCACGGTGTTAGAAAATGGAAACAAAACCCTAAGGAACATGATCAATGGCGTAGAGGAAAACAAAGCAAGAACACAAAAACAAATCTTTTTAAGTTCTCCTGTACGCCCTAAACTAGTTTATTTGTTTGGGGTTTTGAAGTTTAAGAGATTAGTCTAAATAATCCCATATTCTTCCATGGTTTGAACCAACTTCCCTTTATTAAAGGGTTCAAACCAGAAAGACAAACAAAGAAGATAATGTTGAGAAACAAAAAAAAAAGTTGTTGGAAACTGAGAGCGAAAAATTGCTAAATTTAGAATTGTTCATGTTGAAACTGTTACTTTCTCAGTTCTCGTTGTTTCCAACTCTTTTAACAGACAAAAAAAGCTACTTGTTTTTCCTACTGATTACCAGAATGTATTAAGTTGTTAGTTTGTTTTCTTAATACTGTTCTTGATATTAATAGAATCTGTATCACACTTGTCGTTCAGACAAGATATCAGACAGCTAGTAAGAACAAAAGCTTGTTGCAAAATACACAAGAACCGTGTTTTTTTATGGTTGTTATTCAACCAGAAGCATCCTTAACGAATTACATTCATTTTCTTTCTCCATTTAAGGCTTCGAAATCTTCTATGGCGTTAACCTGGTAGAGCTGGTGTTGTTTTATATATCATGCATTGAAAATTTTAAAAGAAGCAAATTCATGGAACTTGCAATATATTGCTTATTTCCAACAGAGCACTCCTCCCCAATCACTTCACTTCTTTGTTTACCGTTGTTCAGCCGCCGGCAGCATTAGCTCGGGTTCCTTCGGCGGCCGGTAAGACGCAACAAAACAAGCTTCCGATTCGAGTTCCGTTGATTATGAACAAGGATATGGTGAAGGACAGAGAGCCAAGAAGAGAGGCCATCACACCGTCAACGTCATTATGCGACTCGGAAATGGAAGATTTGGAACTCATGTCCTTGGTGCTTGCCATTGATGAAGAACAACAACAAGGGATATTTATCAAAGCAGTTATCGATGGTCGACACGTTCCGGGACATTGCTTGGGAAAGAAGGCGTCGCCAAATTCTTCGTCAAGGGAGAGGAAAGAATGGGATTAGTGGATGGATCGACTGATGAAGACCTGCATGAACTTAGAGGGTGCTTAGAGCTCGGATTCAGATTCAATGAAGAAGGAGGTAAAAAACTAACAAGCACATTGCCTGCATTAGACCTTTATTTCGCCGTAAACCGCCGGCTTTCTCCGTGCCCAGTCTCGACCCCTGAAAGCCGATGCTCATCGTCGACATTATCGATCAGCGATCGGTCATCTTCTTTAGGAAGTCCTGGAAGTGATTCAGATTGGAAGATTTGTATCCCAGGTAACGTTTCAGTCCCAAAAAGGCATAATCACAACATTAGCCTCTAACGTTTACACAATGATCACTTCATTTTTTTTAATATTTTAATCCTTAAAGTTTCAATTTTTAGTTAGAATAGTTCATAATAAATGAAAACTTAATTGACTAATGATCAACACATTTCATTGACTTGTCACGTCACTCAAAATGATTGTATCACACATGATATATCATCATTTTATACGATGTGACATCTGACACAATCACTTTAGGTGATATGATAGATGCCGTGCTATCATTTTGATGGCATGGTACATGCCACGTCGACAACACACGTTAATCACTAGTTAACTAATAGTTTTCATCCAACATAAATTATTTTGATAAAAAATTAAAACGTTAAAGTTAAAATGCTTCAAAAAATATATATATAAAACAAAATTATCATTCATATAAACAATATTATTTGTGTAATTATGTCATACCCAAAACACACAAACTAACTATACATGCATTCATACAGACATAAATATGGTGCCATTTGGCGATTTGCGTTCACCAGGGGAAGATCCAGAGCTAGTGAAGACAAGGCTAAGGCATTGGGCGCAGGCTGTGGCATACTCTGTGATGCAATCATATTAAAAAGAAAATATATATGTACCAGAAAGGGTGATCGTGAAGCATTTCCAGGTATTGCTTCGTTTAAAAAGAAAAAGGCCAGTGCCATTTGGACCAAACATAAAACGAACAACTAATATAAATAAAGATAAAAAAGTAAGAAATTAAATTATACAGGGTATAATATACAACAAACTCAAATAAATTTATCATCGTGCCATTAAAAATACATAACACAAATAAATTTCGTAAATTTACTAATAAAATTGTATTACATTTTAAGATATAAATTTCATAAATAATTTAAAATTTAATTTTAAAATTAACTAATTTAATAAATTATAAAAAGGGCAAATTACATTCCATCTCTAGAACTCTTATAAATGTTGTAAATCGTTTACCCTAAAGGCCCCGGAAACCTCTTTTTAGTAAATAACAGCCCACTGTTTCAATTCAAGTTCGCAACTTTTTCTACTTTAAGAGCAAACCTTCTCGAAAGCAATAAAGAAAGAGACATAATTCTGCTTAGGGTTTTACGGAGGAAACAGTAACCATGGCTTCTGATGCTTCAGCTGCCCTTGCAGGTTCCCGCTTTCTTCAGTTATCTGTGTTTTATGCATATAGTTTTGCATTGCTGTTTATTGGGTTTTTTTTTTTGAAGTTTTAATTCATTCAGGATAGAACTTTGATTCCTTTGGAGCAATAAAAGTTGAATATTTTAGTGGGATTCCTTACTTCTTTATGCGTGTATTATAGATGGAAGTTTATGATTTTTTCGGTTATATGTAGTTTAGCTGAAGAATTTTCTTTTGTTTGTTCTGCTCTGAATGCAAATATTCGATGGCTTTGAATTTGAATTTGGGGACTTGTTTCTGTTTTTATTGCAGTAAGGCAGAAAATTCAAAACTTTTTGAATGCAGCTTGTACCGGGAATCTTGATCTTCTCAAGAGTAAGGCGACTCATGATTCATCTTTAATTTAGTATTCGAATGGTTAAATGTTAATCTTAAATGCTTTTTTTTTATCTTTGGATGATTGTTTTGAGTAGAGATTGCGGCTCAACTTGACGATGGGAAGGGACTGGCAAAAACAGTGGCTGATATTAAGGATGCGAACAAACGAGGGGCAATTCATTTTGCAGCAAGAGAGGGAAAGACTGAAGTGTGCAAATTCTTGTTGGAAGAATTGAAGCTTGATGTTGATACAATAGATGAAGATGGTATGCATTTGATATTTTACATCATACACGACCAAAGTATTCGGAATACTCTGTTCTTTGTGTACTAAAGATGCTTTGACTTACATTCTTAAATTACTTAAAAATGCAGGTGATACTCCTCTTCTTCATACTGCCCGACAAGGTCACACTCTCACTGCCAAATATCTTCTAGAATGTGGTGCCAATCCTACTATTCCTAGTGACTTAGGTGCCACAGCGTTGCATCATTCAGCTGGAATAGGTGTGTTCTTTTTAGTTTGTGTGTTCCTTTTCTGAGAATGTGGATTGTTTCTATTTTTTCTTCAATTCTGATTTGGTAGCTTGCTAATCTTAGTTCGGTACGATATTACTATGGTCCCTGGATCTTTTTGAATTCCTACTTCAAATTCACTACTTTGCTTGCAGGGAATATTGAGTTGTTGAAGCATATACTGGCCAAGGGTGTTGAGGTTGATTCGCAAAGTGATGCTGGCACCCCTTTAGTTTGGGCTGCTGGTCACGGTCAACACGATGCTGTAAAAGTTTTGTTAGAGCATAATGCTAATGTATGTTTCCTTTTCATGTTATAATACTTTAATGAAAAATTCTGAGTAGTAGAGAATTTCTGTATTTTATTTAGATGCTTCTGTTTTTAATATTTTCTTTGATGCGATTTAATTTTTTACTGCTTTTTATGATTACTTCTGCAGCCTAATGCTGAGACTGAGGATAATGTCACTCCGTTATTGTCGGCTGTAGCAGCAGGTTCACTTGCATCCTTGGACTTGCTGATTCAGGTTTTGTATTTTCTTGGTTATCTAGTACATTTGATTCTTTTTTCGGTTCAATATAATACTTGCAAGATGGAACTTCTGTATTTGATTTTATGCCATCTCACGAAACATTTTCATTGTTGTCACCGAGTTTTGCGTTTTCTAACGTGCAGGCTGGTGCCAAAGTTAATATTACAGCTGGGGGAGCAACTCCGTTGCACATTGCGGCAGACCATGGCAACCCAGAATTAATAAACAGCTTACTGAAAGCTGGAGCTGATCCTAATGCCATTGATGAAGTGAGATCACTAATGCATTCATTTATCAGACAATAATCATCATCGTCTTGTTTTGAAGGATACTTTGTTGATATGTATGAATTTTTTTAGTAAGGAAGTGGGAAGTTTCTTACATTTACTTGTCAGATGGTGCAGTACCAAGCTGTTATTTAAAGAACTCTCATCTCTTTTTGAACTGGAACCTTGAGCATAAGTTTGATAAGAATAAGATTAGTTAAACTCACCTCTCTATTGTTGAGAAAATTCAGTCAAAAATTGTTTCCCCGGAGTTTTTTTAGTTTCTTTTTTCTCTCGTTGTTGAGGAAATTAATGTATAATTCCCACCGAAGTATAAAGTACTGGTTTTATAGATTTATTAGTTGACTTTATTCTGCATTTTTTATTTTTTCATCTCATTGCAGGATGGCCAGAAGCCCATACAGGTTGCTGCAGCCAGAGGCCAACGTAAGGCTGTTGAGATTCTTTTTCCTTTAACATCGAGAAACGATGCCATTCCAGTGTGGACAGTAGATGGTATTCTTGAATGCATGCAATCCGAAACTAGCAAACAACTGGTACAATTGTCTATTTTTTACTCATATTTTCATTTGATATTGTGATTTTTTTTTTAAAATGTGAAAGTGGTTGTACTCTTTTCTTCTCATGTCTGTTTTAAGTCTCATATGGATGTCATAAAAAATTTCAACTAATTACATCTTTGTATGGTGAACTTGAGATTGCCTTTTAGCTAATATGTACATGTGCTAAGAAATTGATTAGAGTTATCAATCGAATTTAAGTGGATTGCCACAAGTTTCACTACTTTGTGCAACTTCCTTATTTTTCTTGGAATATAATGTCTGTATACACCGGTTATCCACATTTATTTCTGAGGTGAATTTGGCAGGAGGAAATGAAAAATCTGAAGGAAGCTAAGGGAACAAGGGACACTGCATTGCTAACTAGTGATCTCCCAGAGGTGTCCACTTTTTTCTATTCATTGATTTATCTTGTTGATTTTTTTAATTCTAGATAGGCTACTTTCTTCTCTTTGACTTTGAGTGGGTTGCTTTTAAATGATTCGATTCCCATGTTTTTTTTGGGTTTGTGGTTAGCGGTTGCTTTGTAATTTCCATGGTTGGAATCCATATTTGATATATTACTCAAAAGTTTGAAGTAATGAAAGAACATATATATTATTCTCCTCGTTTAACCTTAAACAATTTATCTAGGTGGCACCCGAAGCAAAGAAGAAAGCTGCAGAAGCAAAGTCAAGAGGAGACGAGGCTTTCAAAAGAAAAGATTTTCTTACAGCTGTGGATGTATATACACAAGTAAGACGTTAATCTCATCCCGTGCAAAAGCATTAACAATGTTTCTGCTATTCTATTGTGTGATTGGACTTGGATCCTATTGTTCCCAGGCTAGAAATTCTGTCTAAAATTTGAACCTCCAACTTGCATTTTGGCTCGTTTTTCTGCCTCTTTTCCTATTAAGCGGTCTAAAACTGCATGTGCTAGCACTAGATTTCTAGGCCTGGTGCATTACATGAAGGAAAATGAGTTTTGTTTCATTTGTTGGATTGAGTGTTTATGTGTCTTAATCACGTGCTTTAATCTCATGTGTTGATGCATTTACAGGCCATTGATTTTGATCCAACTGATGCTACGTTGCTTTCAAATAGAAGCCTTTGTTGGATCCGTATTGGACAACCTGAGCAGGCTTTAGCCGATGCAAAGGCTTGCAGAGCATTAAGACCAGACTGGCCAAAAGCTTGCTATCGTGAAGGTGCCGCTCTGCGATTGTTGCAGGCATGTTACTCTCTATTAGCCCATTTGTCAAAGTTTCTAGTATTGTCATTCTTTGTTTCCTAACCATTTGCGGCTGTTCCTTGTACTGCAGAAATATGATGAAGCAGCCAATGCCTTCTATGAGGGTGTGCAGCTCGACCCCGAAAATAAGGAACTCATAAATGCTTTTAGGTTTGTAATCTCACCTCCTTGTCCTCTCTACTTAGGTTATCCATGTTTTGCTGCCAGTGAATTGATTTTGCCTATTGCTGGAGGTAACATGCATGTCTTGATACATATTCAGACACGAGTAGTCGAGCATAGAGATACGACCTTTTCAAATACATGGAATCATTCAGGAAAATTTTGAACAAATTCATGTTTGACACTCACTCGAATCTAAGTAACATTCATGTGTTGGCGAAAAAGATTCTAGCTTTGTTTTCGGGTTTGCTAAATTTACAGGGAAGCTGTGGAAGCAGGGAGGAAGTTTCACAGTGAAGAAAAGGAAAAACCCGAAGTTTCTGCTTAGCTGCTGATAACACCAAAAGCAACGGAGAAGATGAGGAAGTTTTATGAGCATGAGAATGTACATTAGAAGCATGTTTTGAAAGCAAATCTATGTATCAGAATTCCATGCTTTTTTTTTCAACGCATGTTTTCATCAGTGATTACACACTTTCTTATTACTATTGCACATATTTTCATCACAATTGAAAGAGATTTACATGCTTTAGGGTTTATGAGTAAATTGTTTTTTTAGTCCTTTAAAAGTGGCTTATTCATTTCAAAGCCCCTTGACTTGTTCGATTGATGATATAGTGAGTGGTTCATGTGTCTAGATAGGTTAGATATATAGACCAATGTGCTAAGTGGAAATAAAAGTATTAAAGGCATATTGAACATTTTAATACTACAAGTACCATATTGAAAGATCTGTTAAAATACAGAGGATACCGATGTCATTATCCATTTTATTCTTTTAATTTGGTAATTATTTTTTTAAAAAATTAAATTGATATATATATATATATATTTAAATAAATACTTAAATTTAATTGTTATACACATTTTAATGCCAAAATTTAACGTTTTATCAAACATATTACAGTACATTTGGTTGATGATGGAGAAGTCAAATGCATGTTATGTCTCAAAATACATGTAAAAAGCTGAAATTAATAATTAATCTAGATAATATAAAATATTTGCAACAATTTGATTCAACAAAAAATAAATATAAAATAATATACTAATCTAAATTCAAAATTGAAGTTTAAATCATTTATTGGTAAGATTATTAAATACTTTTCCTTAAGTTATTACCCTTGAATATATTCTCTCTTTTCAATAGGATTATTAATGGAGGGTTAACTGTATCGTTCAAACTAAACGGTCGGTTTTCCATTATAATATGATTATTATATTTTTTAATTATGACTTAACCATTAAGAGGTGGTTAATTGTTGTTAATAGTTCAGTTACAGGTTAATCGTAGGTTAACCTATTATAATTATTTGTCAAAATTTTTCATAAATCGTATTATAAAAATGTGTAGCATTTAACATATACTTATACCGGTGTAAGTGAATAAAACAAAAAAGTATAACACTTAACACATACTTACACTGGTGTAAGTATGTACACCTCTCAATATTTTGGTACCTAATAATAAATACATATTTATATTGACGTAAGTATGTTTATGTATTTTAAAAGAAATAAAAAATTATAAATTATAAAAAATATATATTAAGTTACCTGTGTACAATTTTATTAAAAATATATATAAATTAGAAATAATTAAAAATTATATTAAATTATTTATGTACAAATATAATTATAAATTAATTTATTAAGGGTTAAACGTTTATCAAAATTCGTAATCGTAACCTTAATCGTTAACTATTATTTTTAGCGGTTTAATTCATCGAAATCGTTTAATATTAATGGTTCGATCTGTTAAATTTAACGATTATATCAGTTAACAGTTACGGATTTTTTTATCACCCATGCTTTTAAACAAAGCTTATAATAAGCAATAACAATAATAATAATTCAATTAAGATTTAGTTTTGTGGTTTGTTGGTTTTGTTCTACAAATAAGAAATATTAATAAAAAGATGAGTTCATCCTCAACATTGCCATCTTAGCTCAGTCGGTAGAGCGTGTAGCTTTTAACCACGTGGTCGTGGGCTAGATTAACGCACACGGCGCCTCTTCTATAGATTTTTAGTCTCATTCTTCATACGAATCCCTTTTTAGGTATTTCAATAAATTAGAAAGCTTGGAACTTTTCTTTTTGAGATATTCTTCACAAAGAAGAAACCCTTTAAAAGAATCCCACAAGATCCGAACTTTAGGGTTTAATCTCCCTTCCACTCTCTCCATCCTCTTCCCGAGTCATTCAAAGACCCAATCTTTCTCCGAAAATGCCATCAACAAACACAACTTACGGCACCATCACCTCCGCCCCAACCCTCATTTCCTCACACGCCAAACACACGCGCCGCCCATGGCAGGAACTATTCTTCCTCTCCTCTTTCTCCTTCCCTATATCCGCCGCCGATGTCAAAGACCGGATAAAGCTTAATGTCTCCTACTTCCGGGTAAATTACGTAATTACAGCGCTAACGATCCTCTTCTTGACTCTCCTTTGGCACCCCACTTCGATGATAGTTTTTCTGATAGCTTTCATATTCTGGTGGTTCTTGTACCTCTTTAATGATAACCCAGTAGTTATTTTCAACAAAACAGTGGATGATAATGTTGTTTTGGGGGCTTTGAGTTTCGCTACTGTGCTTTTATTGGTATTGACGCATGTGGGTGTTAATGTGTTAGTTGGGTTGATTATTGCGGTGGTTGTTATTGGTGCTCATGCTGCCTTTAGAGGAACTGAGGATTTGGGTTTCCCTGGTGAAGAAGAGGAAAATGGGTTGCTTTCTGTTGTTGGAAGTCAGCCTTTGAGGCCAACTTCTGGATATAATAGGATTTGATTCGATCTCTTTGGTGTCGAATTGTTGCAAAAATTTGTTTTTATGGGTGTTGATTTGAAGTGGTGTTTAACTTTGAGGTTGTGGAAAATGGAGTGGAGGAATTGGTTGTTTCATTTTTGTTGAATGATCCTATTAATGGTTAGGCTTTTGGTTTAGGTCTGGCTTGTGGTTAGGTGCTATTAGTTTAATCTTTGAGGTCGATAGTGTTGGAGTTCTTACTTGTTACATGCATGAATTCATCCTTGTGGTTGGTTGAAATCGAACTTGGAGCAGATATTATGGTGTTTTTAGGTTTGGCATTGGTGTGGAAGTTGGTGGTTTCTTGGAGTTTTGCTTTGAACCGTGTCATGGGGATCTAAGGGTGTCTTTTGGTCCTTGTTTTTCTGGTTTCTCCTTTTAGTGGTTAGTATTTGAGGCATGAGTTGTTTCTTTCATAAAATGATTCCCTTGATCTTATTGGAAATTTCTCTGTTTGTCCTGGTTTATCTGGTTTCTTCCCTCGGAAGAGGTGAGATCTTGTGGCTTAATAGTTTGTATATCCTGGAAATATAGGTGTGTCTGCCTGCTTATTAGATGGCAATGTTGGGTTGTGTCTTCTGGTCAATTAACATGATTGTCAAGTGAAATCTCGTCGGTGTGGACAGGGATGACGACGACGATGATGATGAAGCTGTGTTGCAAATGCTTACGACACCATGGGAGCTTTGAGGTGATTCGTTTATTATCGTATTGTTTCGATTCCGAAGTAACTCTGTTTTAGTCACAAAAGTGTAATCACTGATTTCGTTGCTCACAATCTGAATGAATCTAAAGATCAATCAATTCTTTCCTTTCAAACTCGGTGTCTTAGAGCATGTCTCGTAATGGTTGTTTGACAACCTTTAATCATTCACAGCTTGTTTCAACATAATATAAGCTTTGGATGTTTTACAATTTGCTAAAGGCTAGGTTAGTAAATGAGACGATACTGATCACAAGCTACTCGAGTCCGACTCGGGCAAAGCTTGACTCGAGCTCAGTTAACATGAACTTGGCTGTTTTACAATTTGCTAAAGCCGAATGGTTTTATCGTACATACATAGTGGTGTCATAAAGCATGATGCTATTCTAGGAGTTTGTTTTGGCATATAAGTATTTTATAACATTATTCATTAGTTTTTGTTAAATAAAAAATGTCATCCCAATATTTAAAATTATTTAATTTTTATTTAAAATATTTAACCTGAAAATTATTAAATCATTTAAATAATAAAATGATAGATTTATATTTTTTTATATTGAAGGATAATAAAGATATTACAACCATATATATTATATAAAGTAAGGTATAAAAGCCTTATATTATCGAATAAATAATTAAATAAATAAAATTATAATTTTATAAAATTTCAAATGTAAAATTTTAAATTGTGGATATTGATTTAAATGATTCATTTCTTATAATCTACCTTAAATTTGATTCAATCGAAATTTTCTAAAAGGTAATAAAATATTAAACGACATTACTTTTTAATTATAAATATTCAAATATTGAAATACATTAATCCAAAAATAAATTATGCAAAAAATTAAAATTTATGAAATTAAAAATAATCAAATACTGTTAATTTTTTTTAAAAATAGAATTAAATAAGTAATGAAAGCAAACCTAAGCCATGTTCTAAAACACAGTAAGTTCAATGATATGATTTCATGGTAACCTGTTTTCTTTAACTTTCTGCTCAAGACTTCTTCTAGGGTTTTTGCTCAAGAATGAAATAAAACAAATTCAATAACTTAATGTGTATTACATGCATGATAACATACATGTCCTCTGAAACCAGTTGAAACTATGATGATCCTACCTAAGATAACATATATGTTTAGATGATTGGAGTTGCGAATGATTCGAACAAAACATGAACGAATAAACCAGATTAAACGGGAGTCTCAGGGAGCTTGGACTTCGGCATTACGATGCAACCATAACGAAGTCCTTTGCTGACGAACCGACAGATGCTGGGATCTTCCTCGCTGTAGATGCAGTACGAAACCAATAATCTACCAAGCTATGAAGTTGCAATGACGGTACGACCCAGAAAGAAAAAACAACCCATAATAAAATAATCATCCAAATACAACAAGAAAAGAAAACCCAGATTAGCAATTATCAAGGAAAGAAAAAACACATGAAAAAATAACATAAAAGAAAAGAGAAACTAACACGTATGGAGATACAAGGAAATAGTCGTAGCTTCCTTTAAAAGCTTATTACAAAGAGGGCATGTCATGCATGACTTTAAAGTTTCTCTCTTTACTTTGACAACACCATGATGACCACCACCACATCTTTTTCTCCTTAAAAATCTCTGTTTTCCCCTTCACATTCAAAGGCTGAAACTGGTTCGATGAAGAAGAAAATTCATCAGCAAAGAATGAAGTTTAGAAGAAACCAAGGAGAAAAGAAGTTTAGAAGAAGATTGAAGTTTTCGTTGGGTTCTTACAAGTGTGTTTGGTTCCATGTATTGGTGTCAAAAGAAGAGGGAGGCTCCTTTATTAGTACATTAAGGATATCGTGAAAGGGATCTAAACTGGAACAAAAGGGAAGGAGCGGACTTTGGGTTGTTTGAGGTGGGCTTTCTAGAACATAACTACGGGATATTTGGTTGGATTTTTGGACACAAAAAGAAAATAAAAAACAGCGGCTTGTAAGAAGACTTTTGGTCTTGGCTCCGGTGATTTTACCGAAATATAACCCATACAGGTAAGAATTACCTCTCAGACACTTTTTTTTCCTAATATTATCGATCTAGTATTCTTTCTGACAAGACGTGGATCCACCATCAACGCCTTCGATTTTGTCAAAGCTGGCACCACATAAGGGAAGACACAGATCATCATCCGCTAATTAGTTGAACCTCTAACATCATCCCCAAAAGCATTTTAAAAAACATGTTTTGAAAAGTTAAAAAATAAAACTATAGAGACTAACATCGTAATTTAATACATATTAGTTCCATGAGTTGAAGAGTTTAATGGGGTTAGTTTATATAGGCATATTGGAGTGTTTAAGTTATGTTTATTGACAATGTGGGATAAAAACTAAAAGGTGTATTTATTGACAATGTGTTTAGGTTCTCTTTCTATGAGTTGCCTTCGATCGTTTTCATTACATTTTTATTTCAATTATATAAATATAAATGTAATAAAAAATTGATAAATTATTATTTGTTTGAGCAGATATGTGTGAATCTTCGTGAGGTATTGAGTCATGTTTCATTAAAGTTGGCAAATAATTGGGATATCTTGTTTGCTTAAAATTTTTCTTAGTTGTGTCTTTGCTTGATTGTACCTTGAATTCGGCAATTATCATGGACTTAGTTCGATTGGAAGTTTGAGGAATAAATTGAAATTGAAGATTGCAACTTGTGATTTTGATGTGTTAATTGGGGAATGCTTGACGACAATCATTGAATAAGTGGGGGAATTTGATAGGTGTTTTATTTAGTTATTATTTTAACTTTAAATTGCTCCTCAATTGTTGGTTTTTGTGGCTGATTTGTTCGTTTTGATTCATTCTCTGTACAAGACACTAGATTTTAGAAATTACACTTAAAGGACATAATTATGCAATTTTTTTATTTTCAGAATCAAGACTGGATTAGTGAGCATGACTCCGGGCATGACGCATCTGAGGAGGCGACGAGTTAGCACCTTGTAGAAGGTCCAGTCAGCGCTTCTAGAAGGACAAATGAGTCTTCCACGTTTCTGAAATTCGAACTAAAGTCAAACTCATGTTTTTAGAATTTTAGTTTAAATAGTTTAAGAATTATATTTTCCTTATTTTTTAGAATGTTGAAGGCTATAAATACCCTCTTAGGGTAAGCCTAAAAACACATTCATAATTCATTCGTCTTCTTTCCTCTGGTTTTATAAAAGTTTTCTTTTCTTTTCCAAAGTATGATTGTCATACTTAGTTAATTTCTCCATAGCCAAGGGTTGAAGCGATGATTAAATCCCTATTGTGAGGATTGAAAAGCATTAAAATAACTTTGAGTTATTTTCTCATTTTTCTGGAGGAATAAGATTGGTAATCGACATGTTTTTTTAAAATCAAAACGCTTTTTAATCAAAAAGTTGACGTTGGTTCGGAAGTTTTTCTGATTTATAGTTGGGAGAAAGAATCGGTTGGTAGCAAGTTCGAGTTCATATGAACAGACTTAACAGCGGTCCGCTAAGGGAAATTAAGACCGGACTCGATTCTCATTGAGGCAACATAGTCCGAGTCGGGTTTTTCCAGATCTATAAAATAGGTTGGTGCTGACAACGATAGTCGTAGTTAGTCTCCATAAAGGACTGATATCCAAAAATATATTTTAGGTTATCGGTTCACAAGAGAGAAAAACAAGTTATAAGGGTTGAGCCTTGTAGACTATAATCGACAAATAATCGAAGAGAAAAATTTATTCCGATGATCAACTGGAATTGAGGTAAAAGCTGAAGCCTGAGGCTAATTTCAACATAAGTTTTTCTTTATCTCAATCACTTTAAATTTACTTAATCCTTATTTTTTATTTTAAAACAATTTTTAAAACCCCCTATTTAATCTCATCTTCATCCAAAATTCTACCTTATCTTATCCTTATCAGAATCAGAAAGTTTGCTTCATCAGAAATTTCAGAATCCCTATGGACCGAACCTACTTCTCTTCACTATTTTCTCTCTTCATTTATTTATTTTTGAGAAGCCGAAATTATTTTTGACAGCAAAATGACACATGTCAAATTGGCATCGTTGTCGGGGACTTCGGCTAAAGTAATTGATAAAGTTGTTTCTTTTTATTTATGACCAGAAGTAATTCAGGTGATTTGGTAGAATTTGATCCATAAATCGAAGCATGAACCAGACGAATTCATGTAAAAATACTTCGAGAAAAAAGAAGAAAATGACAACAATAACAATTGGAGCAATCAGATCCAGAAATAAATCCGGAAGGATCATCTTCTTTCAATACAAATGAGGAACCGATAATCGAAGATACACTAGGCACATACAACACGCTAAAACCAATGGCAGATCAAACGATTCTCCAGTTAGCTGCGGCACATGTCGTACAACAACCTCTTTGCATCACTTTTCCTAAAGGCACAACTCTGTTTACTTTGAAAATAGGCCTTATTCATCTTCTTCCTATATTCCATGGGCTTCCCAATAAAAGTCTACACAAACATCTCACAGAGTTTCATATGGTTTGTTCAAGCATGAAACATCATAGAGTATCTGAAGACCAAATAAAACTACGGTATTTCCCTTTTTCTTTATCTGGTTTAGATAAAGAATGTTTATTTTATTTACCTCCCAATTCTATAAATACTTGGGCTGATTTAACTCGGATTTTTCTTGATAGGTTTTTCCCAACAGCAAAAACAAGTGAATTAAGGAGAAACTTTCTAGGAATAAGACAAAAAGATGGAGAATTGCTTTATGATTACTGTGATCGATTTAAGAAGCTTTGTGCAAGTTGTCCACAACACGGACTATCCAAGCAAACACTCCTCGATTTTAACCTTGCATGATATAGCTGGTGTCTCTAATATTTGTGTCTTAACTAGTCTATTTATAGAATACAAAAATTAATCAGAAGGTTATAATCTTTTCCAAGTGACACCATTTATCATAAAGAGTATCAATTTTATTCAATTAATTCATAATTTTCCAATGATACTTACAAAGTTACACCTCTCATAAATTATTAATTCAATTTAATTATCAACATATAATTCTTTTACTTCGACCCTATATAAATCTTAAATTTTATTTCAATTCCTCAAACATAAATCTTTTACTTGATCAGGGATGGATTGGAGGGGTGTTGAGGGTGCAGTCACACTTCTTAGAGTTTTCAAATTATTTTATATTTTAGATTCTATTGATTATCTAATTTCACACCTCCTAAAATTTTATAACTCCGCACCCCTTAATTGTTTTTATATAACTTCTTAAGTTCACACCCCTGACATAAATTTCTATGTCCATCCTTGTACTTGACCCTAATGAGATCCTCATGTTTGCACAAGAAGTTTCCTCACAAATTTACCATTTCTTAAGGTATGTATGGTAATACTTTCTAAAAGCACTTTTACCTAAAAAGTTTTTAGTCCTGATTATAAAATCAATGACAAATGAGGTAAAAATGAAAAAAAAAAATAAGTGCAAACAATGGTTTCAAATCAACCACAAATTATAATTTGTTAATTTGCGTTTAAAACAAATTATAATTTCACTAATATTTATTCATAGACTCCACTCAATTATGTATTTACATTTTATTTTAATAATTTAATACTAATCTTCTTAAAAATAATTTATTATTTTTAATAATTTATTTTTATTATTTAAAAATAAAGAAAATTCATGATTTATATATTAAAATATTAATAATGAGTTATATAAAATATATTTTTATTATAATTATAATTTTATATTTTTATTATAGTTTAAATTGATATAATTCATATATATTCATATTTTTAAATTTATTATAGTCTAAATTTATATGATTTATATATAAGAGTAAATATAATTTAAATGTAATATCTTTAATTTAAAACATTATGTTTATAATGGACATTTTATCTTTTGAAACTGATTTTTTAACAATAATTTCAAACAATTAAATTTTAATCTATACTTTGTATAACACTTTTAAAAGATCGTTTCTATAACAATTTTAAAAGTCACTTTTCAAATTCCATATCAAATTGGTCTTTCATATAGTGAACACTTTTGATGCAAAAAATAAATAAAAAACTTAACGGCGGTGATGTCAGATATGTTTTTTTCCTTTAAAATATTATTTTTTGATGAAAATTTTCGTAGAAAAATAGTATACCAAATGTCGTGGCGACAATGATAAAAGTTGACTCCCTCGCCCGTTTAGGGTTGTGGGAAAATTATTTTTTCATATAAGACATTCAACATATTATTTATTGAACTAAGTCTTCTTATTGGTCTTAAGACGTGCACTCCTGAGGTTTTCTCCATTTGCTTGAATACACCAAGCAAAGTCGTGGGATCTTCTTCATTTTCTTAAAAACACCATGTAATCGTGGATTCTTCATATTTAACTTAAAGATACATAGAACACATGACGTCTTTAAATTAATACTGTTCAATTCAACCTATATAAAAAATAATCTTCAAAATAAATTATATTAAAAATTAAAAAAAACTCACTTACATTATCTCAACAATTTTCCCGGTAAAAGCCTATCAAAATTTTGAGATAATATTGCAGTCTTCGTTCTTTACGTAAATAAGATTGGATAGAAATTTCGCTATTGTAAAACAGCTGGCAGACACGACTTTCAACTTCCTCAACGACCTAATGAAAATTTTAAGGGTACAATACATAAATGCATTAAATTAAACTAAATAATACTTTTTATTACTAAAATTTCAGATATCATAAAATAATTATTCAATTTTAATAAAATAATTATTAAATTTATGAAATTGTTATAAAATTATCTTTTAACTTATCAAAATTTATCATTGTTTTTAAGGTGTAATTATTGTAGAGGCTTATTATTAAAATGATTCTCCTAATCTAATTTATGTTATCATAATAATCAAATTTTATATCTGATTTTACGTAGTGTAGTGTATCATCTTACTCGATCAATTGATTGTTAATCATGAAAACTAATTTTTAAATATCAATACTCATTTATATAATGATATGTTTTTTCAACATTAGAAACCATAAAATTAATTATTTTCGACATTACAGACGAGATGGTTTATTATTCTTTAAAGTTTTCAACAAAGCAAACAAACTAGCAACCAGAGTTGCCAGCGGCATAAGATTTGTAGCACATAACTAAACAGCGAGAAACTGTTAAAGTGCTAATTATCAACAAAGGAAGCAATTAAAGGGTTGAAGCCATTGCCACAATCAACAAAATCGTATCGAACAGTCATGTGGCCTTGCCGATACCCTTCACCGTCTGTGTCGATTCGCTGGAAAACTCCCCAATCCAAATCTAACCCTCCATTGCTGCACTGATCCACAATCCTCACTGTCGTTTGAGCACCAGTCCTTGTATTCCTTACCTACAACACCAATCATCATTATTTAACATTCAACGTCTAAGAATTTAATACGAGCTTAATAGTAAAAATGAGTGTTATTCTCTGTAAAGATTCTAAATTCGAACAATTGTGTCGGTGGAACTTGGAACATTCAATGAGTTCAGAGTTGGAATAATATTTATTAGTTGTTGCTTACCCTCAAGCATCTGCCACAAGCAGCGGGGAAACCAGGGCTAACAGGGCCACAAAAGGCAGTCCAACCATACTTACTCCTCCAGGCAAATGGTTTGTCAGCATCCCAGGTGGAGCAATAGGCACTCACAGCCCTCAAATCCCAATTGTTTTGCTCCGGATTATAGTAATGGTAAGTAGATCTCACCGTCGCTCCTCCTCCTCCAGGAGCGGGACCTCTGCAGTTACTCTGGCAATTGTTTTCCGGCAAGCAGTACTCATCGGTGTCCCCACACCACCCGTATTGGCTGCAACATAAGTTGTTCGGACACAACGCCCCGCCGGCTTGCCGGCCGCATTGCTCGGCCATCGTTGCTCCCACTAAGCTAACCAAAAGCACAAACAACATCATCACCATGACTCTATCCATTTCTTTTTGGTGTATTGTTTGTAATATATGTTAAGGTTTTATACAAGATTGTGTTCATGTTATTATTACTAAAATGACCTTAGAACTTAGGTTAGCATACTACATATTATATTTTTGGACTAACATCATTGAATGTTGATTGTTAATCGAACGGTTTTGATTTGAGAACGTGGAAGATCAGATGACTATGAATTATGACGGTGCGAGGCGGCTAATTGTTTGAGGTCATTGCATGTGGGGCTGCTATGAATAAATGCCAATGAAGAAGATGAGAACAAAGTTAGATATATAGTTGTCCCCTTTCATTTTCAATCTGACTAGACTATGATTCTATGTATAGTTAACTAATATTTTATATATTAAAAATAAATGATTTTATATGTTATTATTAAATTAAATTAATATGTCATCTAAATATTTAATTCATCCAAATTTAAGACCAATTAAAACTCATTGAACATACTCAACAATTAATTAAAATGAGTATTATTCTCTCTAGAGGTCCTAAGTTTGAGTAGTTACGTTTCTAGAGTACATATATATTATTAATGACCAAAGAAAATTCTAAATATACACTAATAGGGATGGACATGAGACCCGAACCCGACCCGATTGGGTCGGGTTTTCTTTAAAAAAAAGTCGGAGTCAGGTCGGGTCGGGTTTTTTAAGTGTCATGTTCGGGTCGAGGGTGAAAAATACCCGACTCGACCCGAAAAAATATATAATTTTACCTTATATATATATTTAGGAATAATTATAATACTACCCCTCTATATTTAAATTTTTTCAATTAAGTCACTGTTTTTATTAAATAAAAATAATATTTTTATTATTATTTCGGGTCGGGTTGGGTTTCTAAGCTATATATCGGCTCGGGTAAACTCTTATTTTGGTCGGGTCGGGTCTCGGGTGGAAGCTCCCTTGTTCTCGGGTCGAGTAGGGTGGACCAAAAACTCAACCCAACCCAACCCGACCCATGCCCATCCCTATATACTAACTTATAATCACTCTAAAATATTTAAAAAATTAAGATCAATCAAGGTATTTTAGATTAAAAATTAATCAAGTATTCTTAACATGTGTAATCAAATAATTTACAAGCATATGAATTATTATAAAGTGTATTAACAGTAAAATTTTTTACAAATGACATTAAAATGATGATACGTATCTCATTTAATTACTTTTTAAATTTTAAAATTTATTACAACAAAAATTTATTATTATTTTATCCTTATTTTGTAAAAATATAAAATTTTATATATAGAATAATTATTCTTATATATGATTAATACATTAAATATATAACTTTATGTTTATTGGTGTCCAAATTGATTCTTTCTTGCACGTTAAAATTTTGAACTTTTCGTTTGCAGAATTCTATTTTAATAATAAGTCAAACAATGTATTTTTTTGCTCAACTTTTTAGCCAAAATTAGTATAATCCGGACACCAAAATTAGCCAAATTTCAAGCAAAAAAGATTTGGACAAACAAAGGTCCAAATTAATTAAGAACAAGTTCAATAAATACAAAGGTTAAGATGCAAAATCCTAAACGCCTTTTGATCTTTTGCTTAAGCTTTTAGAAAATAACAAAAACTTTAAATAAAATCAAATTCTCGTTTATGAATCAATTCTCTGACGTGACTTGTTCATGTGAACTAACTTCTTCAACATGACATCCATAATAATAGATAAAGTTATATCTAGAGGTAATCGGTCATTCGGATCGAGTATGGGTCGGATCATTTCGGTTCGGGTTATTTTGGGTTCATATTATTTCGGTCTAGATTTGGTTCGGGTCAGATCAGATTTGGTTCGGGTTTAGTTCAAACCAATGAAAATTCAATTCTATCGATTATCAGATCGAGTCAAAATCGGATCGGTTGATTTTCGGGTCAGGTTAACATCAGATCGATTGGCTTAGGGTCGGGTCAATATCATATCGATTTGGGTCAACCATTAGACTTTTGGGGTCGATTTTAATTCGGGTCAACCTTTAGATTTTCGAGTCAACCTTCATATTTTCGGGTCAATCATTAGATTTTAGGTTCAATTGTTACTGATTTTTGTCGTCATAACTTTCAATGTTTTTCTTTAGTACATATAATTCAAGAAATTTATATGAATATATATTGTCACATCTCAAATTCAGAATTATAAGTTTTAGTTTTAATCAATTTAATCTATAAATCTTTAAAATAAAGAATGTTATGTGTATATATATTGTCACAATTCTAATTCAGAGTTAGAAGTTATTTCATTAGATATAGAGATGATCTTTTAACTGAAGAAAGATTATATTGAATCATTAAACTATTATTAGAAGTGGTGGTTAACTAGTAGTATAATATAAAGTGAGAATAAAACATAGATCATTTTATTGGGCGTTTCTCCCGAAATATCACCCTAACCCTATATATTTCCCTGTCAGACACCGTTCAGACTATATTTCTCGATCTAACACCCTTTGCAGGAAGGCGCCCCCTTGAACCACGCTTTACGCCACGTGGTTGAAGGCGCGCCCCCGGGGACGCGCCTTACCAAATGTGTAAAAAACTCGGGTGCTAGTTTTGTAAATATTTTTAAACAGGTGCCAAATACGTCATTAATTTCTATTATGGTGACATTTGTGTAAAAACGTCAGCATTTTAATTGTGCAGACACCCCCACACCGCACGGTTCCAAGTTATGAACTGCTGGGGTCTTGTCACAAGTTAATGAAGTGGGTAGTGTGTGTAGTGGTTGAGTTTATTAGTATTTTAATGTGTAACAAGTTTATTTTTTATAATAATAAATATTTTATAATTTAAAAATTATAAAATTCATATATTTTTGAAAAAATTATTGAATAATAATTCATTTGAACCTCAGTTGTAATTAAAAGTTTATTTTAATATTTTTTATATTTTTAAACAATTAATTTTAAAATTCAATAATTTTTTTAAAAATATACGAAATTTATAATTTTTAAATTATAAAATATTTATCATCATCATCATCATTTTGTAAAATAAATACTAGTTATAAACTTTTTATAAAATTATTCATATTTTAAAATACTTACCCTCAAAGTTTTTATATACTAGATTATACGTATTGTGTAATTTTAATGCAAAAATTTAAATAATTTTATTAAAAATGAATAAACATTATTAACTATTGTTAAAAAATAAAAATTAATGAATAATAATTAATTTGATCCCTCAATTGTAATTAAAAGTTTATTTTAATATTTTTTATATTTTTAAACAATTAATTTTAAAAGACAATAATTTTTTCAAAAATATTTGAAATTTATAATTTTTAAAATTATAAAATATTTATTATTATAAAAAATAAACTTGTGACACAAATACTAATAAACTCAACCACTACACACACTGCACACTTCATTAAAACCCCAGCCAATTCACAAACCGTGCGGTGTGAGCTGTGCATAATTCAAAATGCTGACGTTTTTACACAAATGTCACCATAATATAAATTAATTACGTATTTGACACCGTTTAAAAATATTTACAAAACTAGCACCCGTGTTTTTTACACATTTGGTAAGGCTCACTCCCGGGGGCGCGCCTTCAACCACGTGGCGTAAAGCACGGTTCAGGGGGCGCACCTTCCTGCAAAGGGTGTTAGATCGAGAAATATATTATTTTTTTTATTTCCTGTTAATAATTTATTTTATATGAATTTTAACAAAAGAAAAAAAAATCTCTTTATGTACTGCGTAAGGCTCCTAGGAATTGGTTTACCAAATTACATGGTTATTTGTGTTCATTGCGTATTGGTTCTTCTCAAGGTGATAAGTCATTGTTTATCTATACTACTAATGGGATTGTTATCATGTTACAGTTTATGTAGATGATACGTTTGTAACTGATTTCTCTAAGATTATTCAAGAGGTTAAACAGGATCTCAATGATAGGTTATCTCTTAAGGATCTTGAGCACATCATTGATTTTTTGGCATTGAGACTGTTTGTACCTCGACTGGTCTTCTTCTGCATCAAAAGAAGTATTTGGAAAAGTTGTTATACAAATTCAATTTGCAGACATCTCGAACAGTAGACACTCGTACCTGTCACTCCCAAGTCAAGTAAGATGAGTGGAGGAGCATTTGTTGGTGCTCAGGAGTACCATAGTGTTGTAGGTGTCCTGCTAATATTTCTTTTTTGTGCATAAAGTGACACAATTTATGCAACAATCTTTTCAGGCACACTAATCGAGAATTAAACGTATACTGTGTTAGCTAATGGGGCCTGTTAGTGCTTAAGACTTTCACTTATGTTGACTGGGACAGTAATTTTGACGTTCGATATCAAGGTATTTTGTGTTCCTGGGGCGACATTTGCTATCGTGGAACTCTAGGAAACAAAGTAGTTAACCTCGTCACTCTTTGTTGGGTCAAACTAACCGTGTTGGTCCACCAAACTAGACCGGGTCTATATAAAGCTTTCATTGGCAAAAATGGCCGAAATCCGAATATATCTTAAGGCTTACATTCCTTATTTCCCTAATCTCTAGCTAACCTAATAGTGTGATTTACAGCTGCTGCTCCTTCAGCTGCTTATTGTCCAGTTGTATTCATGAATGAGAAGATGGGAGACTGTGCACTTGATTAATGAATTCAATGTATTTCTGTGTCTATTTCAATAAAGAAAACCCATGCTAGTTTAACCTGAAAATTTACATGTCATTAATTGGTGATTAATAAAAAAATATTGGTAATCTTAATTTTGTATTTAGTGTTCGTTTTCTTGATGATGTAAAATTACTAATTTACCCTTACATAATTAATAATGTAAGTCTTGCAATGCTTCGACTGATAATTTGTTGTTTGTTTATCCGCTGCCATGTGTTGGTGTATGATTTAAATTTGAATGCTTTCGCATAGTATGCATGTTTAGGGTTTTTTTTATGTCCACCAAGATTGGATTCTAATGTACGTTCAAGTATTCGGGTAATTCTACGTAACTGGGTATGGGGTGTTACATTTGGTGGTATCAAATCTATGTTAACGATGTTGTAAGTTTGTGTGTCGGGGTAGGAAAATGGGAACCATATTGTTGTGTTTTTATCTAGAAATTTTTGCAGTTCTTGACTTGATCGCCGATGCATTTCTCACATTATGTTGTTTGATTGTATAGTGTTTAGCCTAGTTTCGTTATGATGTCACGCCGTGCTATTGTTTTTGTTCCAGAGTGTAACTGTCCTGCCATTGGAGCTAATGCAACAAAGATTGGATGTGGTGCCAATGGACCCTCGTCTATGGCTCCACACCCGAATCCTCCTGTTGACGTGTTTCTTGAGGCGATTATCAATGCCTTTCACAATGTCGTTCCTAATGTTTCACCTAACCCTATGCCAGTGCCAGTGGTCGTTAAAGCGTTTAAGGGCATTGGGTGCCAAAGATTTCTATGGTGTTCTTCAAACTGAGCTGACAGTTGCTAAGGATTGGGTTGAGAGTGTGGTACTAATATTGGATAAGATGGATTGCTCTAATTTGGAAAAGTTGCGTTGTGTTGCATCACTACTGTAGACTGATGCATATAGTTGGTGAACGACGAATCAAATGAGTGTTGTCGAGGATAGTTTGACCTGACCGTATTTTCTAGAGGTGTTTAGGCGAAAGTTTCTAGGAACGTAGTATACGAACTCGAGGAAGAAAGAGTTTCTCGACTTGGTTCATGTAACACCCCCAACTCGTATCCGAGTTTGAGGTGTTACATCAACTTTTAAAACCTTTACTTGTTCAAAATAATGAAAATTTCTCGTTAAAGGAAACTTCATATTATTTCTAAATAAAAGTTTATAAACTTATACGAGCATATACAATTCAAATCGTTCCTGTTACATGCCAACTATATCTAAAAAAATACATATCAAGCATTTCTTTTTCTGATCTGAACTTTGTTAGGAAGATGTTGACCTGTCTTGCTTCTCTCAACTTCTCTTTTCACTTTCCGTAACCTGCGTGTGAAACACTCACACGCTAAGTCGATGACTTAGTGAGGCATAAAAACACATCTAATGAAATTCATATCCACTAATCATGCATGACTGTTTATGCTATCAAATCATACAACTCATATACTTTTTACATATAACAATTACATACTCGTACACATACATGTCATTATTTATGTTTTTATCATACTCTTATACTCTTATACTTCCTATCGCTTATTTCTTGTTCATATGATCTCTTACGTTCATATTCTATATCTTATAACAAATTCTTATATCATCATATAAGTCATTTATACTTATTCACATATACATCAACATATATTCATGTATATCATGTAACAGATGCAATAACCCATATCACACATATATCATGTTATGCAATTCATATCACACATCATATACATATATTACATACATTGTTTTCACAATTATCTCTTTATTAGCCCATGTACACATATGAGAACTATAGATATGTGAGTCTATAGAGGTTGTGCACTAATGTTGTCACCATAGCTCGTATAAATGCACCGAAGTGCCACGTAGAATTGCACCGTAGTGCCGCGTAGAAATGCACCGAAGTGCCATATAAGGTTGTCCCTAAGGACCACATAGAAAATTCCTTAAGAATCATATACATATGCCAAGGATCAAGTATGTGTCTCAAAAGACCTCACACATGTTCCAAAGAATACATATATGTCCCGAAGGACCGCGTAGACCCTCGACTCTTGGCATGCCAACTATACCTCTAGCTCTCATGTCACATAACATGGGCATTAATATTTATGTTAGCATACATTCATATATACACATAGTCTCATAGTTCTTTCACATAGCTCATTGTCATATAAATCACACATCACATATACATATAGACACATGGTTCACTTACGCGTAGAACATTTTCATATGATTCACATATCACAGAGCTTATCACATATAATTGTATTATTTTTCATATAATCACATAGTCATATAATATTTCATATGACATATACTTTTTATTTCATATATCTCATGTCATGTATCATATCTTGTGATCATGTAATCATGTTACTTATAATCACATAACTTCTACTCATAGGGTTCAACATCATTAATCTTAGTTCACTTTTTCATATTATCATACGTTTATATAACCTTATATGTCCTATCAATAACCTATAAACTTACTCATATACTCATATATACTCTTTAATATAATTTGCATAGTAATGCTCTATAATTGTATCATATAATGAGTTTACCTAAGTCTTCCTTTATAAAGTTTATACTACAAGTTCAAATAGTCTCATTCTATCCTATACATAGTTTCTACTTATCTTATCTCGCTTCCCCTTTCACTCACATAAATCATCTATATACTAGTTTTATCTATTTATTTAGTTCAATTTCCCATGACTTCTATAATACTCTTTCATAAAGTTTTGTAATTCTTCACTTTATAACTCATAAACTGTAGTTTCCTTTAAGTATATAAATCTTCCCTATATAACTTATGTATCATTACTTAGGTTTATGCCCTCAAATTTATACTATCCTCATAGAGTCTCTTAACCTTTCTCGTGTAATCACTTATACCATATAATATGACTTATACTTGGTTATCTTATGTTCACATATATATATCAATGATTAATTAACTTGTAGTTTATGTCACATGTTCATTTCATTCTTTATGTCTTTATCATATAACTTATTTCATGTTCTTCCATTATTACATAATAGTGTTTTACACAAATCATATAGCATATACAAAGCATATCAATATCTTTAGTCATGCATACATACAATTAATGTAATACATATAATCACATATAATCATAACAAACACATAATCATGTTCATGACTTCATGCATATTACTCTAGGAAATAGACTCATCGCAAAGTCTTATTTCCATTAAACACTACATGTCACTAGTATGCACTCACCTGGCCTCACTTGTCAATACCAATCTCTTATCTTTCCCCTTGATCGATCTTACTTGTCAATGACTTCGAAACTCGTTTAGGCTCTGTATCTACATAAATGTACATTTTAAGACAATTATTAGATACCTACACCTTGTAATTTGATACTAGCAACTTAAACAAACTTAATAAACCAATATTCACATTTTTTTCTTTAGGGGGAATTGGTTCCCTGTTGTGGGGGTATCGGTTCCCCGTGACATTCTGTAATTCTAGTTTGTTTGAGGGGTATCGATTCCCCTATGAATGGGTACCGATTCCCCTAGCCCATAAATCACATTTTCATTCCGAAAATTACTTCATTTCAACTCAATTGCTTCATATATCATCCCCTTTTTTATTCTTAACTTACATACACATGATTAAACTTACTTATACTCATTTATCACATCTTTAACCTCAAAATTCTATCCTCCATATGCAATTCAAGAATTACACTCAATTTTCAACGTGTTCTAAATTCAATTCTATTGCTTCTAACTTCTTAATTAAACCTTTGACAAGTCAAATTTGGACTAGAAATCTAATAACTATCTTCCTATCAATATTTCATTGATTTGCTTCCTTCTTTTAATCCTTTCTATTCATTTCCTCTTATTGTCTTATGACAAATTAAGCTTTCCTTAAGCTTAAGTGTCACTTGATAATCAAAACCAAACTTAAAATTCAACTGAAAATCAACTAGTAAAAACTTTCACCTTTGCCTTGAGCTCCCACGTATGAAGAAGAAGAAATGAGAAGAGAAGAACTCTGGAAGCTTTGATATTTCTTCCTCTCATCCACGTGGTCACTCCCTTAAAAGGGAAAGAATAAAAATCTTTCCTTGCCAAATGACCCTTTTAGCCTTCCACTCCTTTCATATTTACCAATCAATCCTCTTGAATAAAATTCTTAATTAAATCCGTGAATTTTGAACTTGTTTCGAAATCGAGTCCAAAATTTTCAAAATTTGCAATTTAGTCACTGACCCTGATTTTGGGATATTACAGTTCAGGGGAGGATTTGGGTGTCTGAGTATGAGGTAGAGTTTGTTTGCTTGAGTGAGTATGCTAGGGAGATAGTTCCGACTAAGCTGGAAGGGTATAAGTAGTTCAATGATGATTTGAAAAGAGAGATTCGTGTGTTTCTTGTTATCGGTTCGTCAGAGGTGGTTGATACCTTAGTGGATCAGGCTAAAGAGATTGAGTTCACTTTGGTAGGTGACTCAACATGAGAGTTTTCAGGGAAAAGGCTTTGATATGTTGGTTCTCCGAGTCGTTAGTCGAAGAGATATCGAGGTTTTGATCATCGGGGTGATCATCATGATTCTCGGCCGCTTTTTTGGTTGGTTGGAAGCAGTCTCCTCTCTGTTCAAATTGTAGTAAGAGGCATCCACGTGAGTGTTGGCATCTCACTGAAGGTTGTTTTCACTGTGGAGATGTGGATCATCAATTGCGAGATTGTCCGAAAAGGCTTAAGAATCGAAATGATGCTCTTGTTCCTTCTAGGGGAGGTAGGAGTGTTAGTTTTTAAATGGGTTAGGCTCATGGTAGGGGCCGAGGTCGTACCGATGTAACTGAGTCTGGTGGTCTTGGTAAAGTGTATACGATTCTTGAGCATCAAGATCATGTCCCAACAGATTTGATCACATGTACCTTTTTGCTAGAATATTTTCCTTAACTTGCTTTGATAGATTTCAGTTCCACGTATTCTTATATCCTTAGTAGTTTGGTGAGTTGGTTAAGTGTTTCTGTTAGTGTTAAGGATGTGGGTTTGGTAGTGACAGTCATTAGAGGATAATGTATTTATGGATCGAGTGTACCAGATGTTTTCTTCGGTTATTCAGGGCGAGGTGTTTCCAACAAATTTGATGGAGTTACCGTTTCATGGGTTCGATGTTATCTTGGGCACATATTGGCTTCGTGAGCATCTTATGCATTTGGATTTTGAGTTGTCTCATGCGATTTTAAAGACATCAGATGGTTTTAAGATTGTGGTTTGTTGGAGATAGGTCTAAGTTTTTTTCCAATGCAGTGTCAGCATTGGATGCGAGTAAGATGTTGCAGATGTGAGGATTTCTAGGCCTATGTTCTTAATCTAGAGTGAAATAGAAATGTGTGTGCAAGACATTCGAGCGGTTAAGGATTTTCTCGATGTGTTTCTGGAAGAGCTTCTGGGTTTGCCACTGGATCGTGAGGTAGAGTTTCACATTGAGACTTATATTGATTCGACTCATGTGTCTATTGCTTCCTATTAAATGGCACCTAAGGAATGAAGGCGTAGTTGCAAGAGTTGTTGGATTGTGGTTGAATATGTCCGAGTATTTCTCCATGTGATGATCCAATTTTGCTTGAAAAAGGACAGTAGATGCACATGTTTATCAATTATCTTTAGTTGAACAAGTTGACCATCAAGAATCGATATCCTTTACCAAGGATTGATGACTTGATTGACCATTTTTTAGGTGTTAGGGTGTTTTCTAAGATTGATTTACGTTCTGGGTATTATCAGTTGAACGTTAGTGAGTCAGATGTAATGAAGACTGCTTTTAGGACACGCTATGGTCATTATGAGTTTTCATTTATGCCATTTGGGTTGATAAATGCACCTACTACTTTTATGGATATGATCAATTCTGTGTTTCATCTATACATGGATCTTTTTTTGGTGGTGTTCATCAATGATATCTTGGAGTATTCGAGTTCGGAGGAAAAGCATGATTCGTATCTGAGGGTTTTTTTGCAAGTGTTAAGGGAGAAGAAGTTGTTTGCAAAGTTTTCGAAGTGTGAGTTTTGGTTGAGGGAAGTGGTGTTCCTTGGTCATGTTATTTCAGATGAGGGTATTTGGGTTGATCTGAATAAGATTAAGGTGATAGTTGAGTGGAAGATGCCTAAGAGTGTTATCGAGGTTTGTAGCTTTCTAGGTTTAAAGGGTTATTATCATTGTATCGTGGAAGTTTTTCTCTTATTGATGCCCCTTTGACGGGGTTATTGTAAAAGAATGTTAAGTTTGAAAAGATGGATGAGAGACAGAGGAGTTTTGAGAAGTTGAATTCGGTGTTAATGAAGGCTTCTGTTTTGGTGCAGCCTGAGTTGGGGAAAGATTTTTTGGTGTTTAGTGATGCGTATATTACCAGTCTTGGGTGTATGTTGATGTAAAATGGTAGGGTGGTTGCTTATGCGTCGAGACAATTGAGGTCGCATGAGCGTAACTATCCCACACATGATTTGGAGTTGGTTGTTGTAGTGTTTGTGCTAAAGATTTGGCGTCACTACTAGTATGGGGAGATGTGTGTCCTTTACACCGATCAAAAAAGTCTCAAATATCTCCTTACTCTAGCGTTAGAAGACATTGCATCGTGGATGAGTTTGGGTTCGCCTCAGCATACCTCCCATGCATCCTTCCCATTTGATGCATCAAATGGTGAATTTCCACTGTGGAGGGCACTAGCACTTGACTATGCAATGGCGCTAGACAGGTGCAGGTTCCTTTGCTCTCATTTTTCCAGGGAAGATAATTTTTGGAAAGTTCATTTCATACAAAATTAATAAGTCCAATTGTTGTTGCAGTCGGTGGGTAGAAGTAACCACCATCACCGGACAGATATATTTGTGGGGTTTATAGAGATGGTTGATGGCTCACTTTCTTGTAAATACAGGCAGATATACCTCTTGGATCGATACCGTAGGAAGGAAGGAAGGAAGGAAAGAAGAAGAAGAAGAAAAACCTGCTGCCACGTTAAAAAGTTAACGATAGTTAAGTGTCATATCAACAAACACTGATAGAAAGTAACGACAGGGACTTTCTTGAAAACAAATTAAAAATTCAATGACTATATTACAATTTTTAAAAGTTAGTGACAAAAATATAAGTATCTTAAAAGTTCAAAACCTATTTATATACTTTACCCTAAAAATAATTGAAGAGAAAGTCAAAATTGGATTATCATTATTTCATTTAAAAATAATCCCCTAATATTGTAACAAACTAAAACTTATTACAAAAACAGTCAGCCACAATATATGAAAAGGTATTAGAATTACCCTTGCACAAGAGGACGAGTGAGACAATTATTTTTTTGAAAATTTAATATTATTATATATTTTAGATTTTTTATATATTTTTTTTATTAAAAATTTATTTTCACTGCTAAAATGTTTTTTTTAAAATAACACTGCTAAAATGTTATAAGTCTAAGTTCGTCCCTTGAAATTTTAAAAATTCAAGTTGACCCTCACTAACACAAATCATGTTTTCGTCCCGGATTAAACATATAATATGATTCTGAAAAACTTTGAAACAATTATCGTAGCTGCATGTGTAAAATATTTCTAAATCATGATAAAAAAATAAAATATAAACTGAATACATAAACAACATAATGAAGAATTAAAACACAATAAATAACATAATAAAATATGAAAATATGTCAACATTTTAACACATGTACGATTTCTTCTCATAAACAAATCAAATTCGAATACAAAACTTTACCCTAGAATTAAATTGAATTGAATTTACCCAACTAAATTCTTTTGTACTATTCTTTATAAAATAAAAGAAAAAAAAGGACCATTAAATTTGTCCCATTTTGGTATATAAAAATTATAAAAAAGGCCTAATGCTTCTTTTGCCACTTTTCTCTCCAATAACTCAACCCTTCAATAATAATTCAGCAAAATTTTTAAAAAGGGACTAAACTTTTACTTTTTTAAATCAAAAAACTTACTTTATAAACAATGTGTATATATATATATATATATATATATATGAGTGTTTTAAAAAATAAAGTATATACAAATGGTCCTCTGATTATAGGATATTGATTTTTTGAATTATTTGACTATTAAAAGATATGAAATGGACCTTTGACTATAGAATGGTGCTTTGTTTAGTCCCTCAACTGTTAAAAGTTATAAAACGGTCACCTGACTATTATATATATTCCAAACTCGTCTTTTTCCATTGAACAATTAACGACAACTTAAGTTGATGTTAACACGTTGACTGTGATATGATAGTTGTTTAAGATTATGGGATTAAATTTTATCATATTTCAATCAACAGATTAACGTCTAACTCATTGTCATCAGTTTTTTTAACGAAAAGGACAAGTTTAGAACATATGAAATAGTCGAATGATCGTTTTAGAACTTTTATTAGTCGATGGACTCAAAAAAAATATCCTATAGTCAAAGGATCGTTATGTAACTTTTAATAGTCGAGATACTCAACAAAACATCGTCCTATAGTCGGACGACTATTTGCATATTTTACCCTAAAAATAATGAATGAAATTAGTAACCGATTCAACCCTTGTTTTCCGATTCAACGATTTGATCAATTGACCTGTGATTCGATATTAAAATAATAAACAAAAATGAAATTTATGCCAATAAATATGTTTTAGTGAAAATGATTCAAGTAAGACTGTTGGTTCTATACATTGAACCTATTGATTCTTCGTCCAACTAATCCGATCACCACAATACTTCATTGATTAATCGGTTCGATTCTAATAATCGGTTCGATTTTAGTTTCTAATTGGACCGATTGGTTCGGTTTAATTCAACGGTGAGCAAAGGCCATACATAAAGGAAGTACGTAACATAATTCAAGTTGCATTAAAATTTTCTTCAAATACATTATGGTCCCACTTCCCATTATCCAAGAAAAAGGAAAAGAAAAGAAAGCGAATTCCTACCACCATTATTTTTTGGTCATCCTCCACTCGTATTACAAATTAGAGGAACACATCAATTCACCTTTGGAGTTTTTGTTTTCCCTTCGACATACACCGTGGGATATACCATCGAAATACCTTCCGAAAAAGTCGTCGGTGGTCGGAGTTAGAGCTTCGGTCGAACCACGAAACAGCTTGTCTCGAGCGCGCTACGAGTGATTTCTACATGCATCATGATGTTGATTTTCGATTCTTTTATGAAGGAGTGTTTGATTCGGGCTTGACGATCGTCGGTGCATCCGATTGATGGGCGGGGAAGATCGTGGACGTCAGTGAGATCGGCACGATGCAGAGTGCCTTGGACTGGAGAAACTGCATGGCGGCTCCGATGTCTTCTTCCATCAGCTTAGCCACTTGCTGCTCGGTGCCATCTTTTGACCATTTTTCCCAAGCAGGCTGGCTTCCATCTCCCTATTCATGGAAAGATAATCAAAAAGGTAAAATCATGGAAGAATAGAAGACTTGGAGAACACGGTAGGTCCGAAAAGGCGATAACGACAGCCAACTACTCTATCCGGTTAATAGATTCATAGAAAACGACCCGGGAAAGTGAAATAATGTACATTCATAAATTCCAAAGCAACAAGGAACTTGGGCAACAACAAATGAGATACCTTAACACACAAGTCACTACTTCTTTGTCATTTTTTGTCATGCATACTTTATGATTTCGTGCCTAATCACAGACACTTGCATGCTTAGTACTTCATATGGCAAGATTCAACTATTAACAATTACAATTATTCTGTATTTTACCTCGACGGATAATAGGGGTATATCGGCTATAAGCGGTGTCACGGCACCTGCTGCACCAAGTCTGCTCATGCTGAGAACCTGTTCAAATAACAAAAATAATCAATCGGTAAGCCGGTTCACGGTCTTTAATTGTTCCAACTAAAAGTAATGCAGTTAACATTCATTACTATTCGACGATAACTTATTTCGCGGCCTCGAGATTCCGGGACCAGACAAGAGTCGATTTATTTGACATTGAAACAGAAAGGGATGCCTTAAGGTCTTCACAGATATCTAGGATTCAGCATAAGGGTCCTACCCCAAGTACTTGCCAAAGACTTTTGCAAGATATTATCAGAACAATTAACTGAAATTAGCTGAAGTACTTTTCGATAGTGATGATGAGGTGTTTTCGTCTCGTCTTCCTTTTTGCTTTTTCAAAATTTTCCTTGTCCTTAAAACATATGAGAATGCAAAAGCAACGATGACGAATTCGATGTTCTGAAAGCAAATATTAGAAGATGTCTGCAACTTTATTACCATTATTAAAATGATTCCTTTCTAAGCATGTTGAGAAAGACTAATTTAGCATGAAAGCAAAATGAAATTTAAAGTATGACAAATCTTAGTTAATCCGAGATTGGTATCGATATTTTAAATGTTAATTACCTTAACTTGAAGTCTAAGAAACTTCACGTAATCTACGATTTCGTCGAGCATTGCTGCCCTGTCCGTCTGCAGAATATTCAGCAATGCATCAGCAGATATGGAAAGAAGTTGTCACATTGTAACAAGAAATCCTAACCTTATTGCAGCTAGGAACCAACTCTTGCAAAGCCTTCATTCTTTCGGCGATTCTTTCTCGACGTAACTGCATTCACCGGAGAAAATAAACGTGGATGGACCGATCGAGGATCAAAAGAATAGAAGATAAGGACTAAATAAACAAAATGAAAAGATTACCAGAACTACTTAATGTCAAAACTCATTGCTAAGAAACAACAAACATGGTTTATTAAGACCATATGATGTGTCCTGAATGAAGAGGAGCTAAGCGATTGCTGATAAAGAACTTTTGACAAGAAAAGAGATTGAATTTTACCCGCTCGGCTATACTGTGGGGATCGGTTGCCTGTCCTCGCCTAGCTCGTACCCTTGGACGGACGGCAGGTGGGTGCGGTGCAGCAGCAACCGGACCCGAAGTCGGCTGGCTATGAAATGGCTGCAAAAGAATGTATCAGATTATGCAATTAAAATGTTCTAAAGTCATGTACAAAACAATTACACTTTAACCTTCAACGTTTCATTATACAATAAAATCGAAGACGAGTCCGAGATGCACTTTTGATGCGCTTGTTACACACGTGCTATCTCTCAAACACTCAAGTCGCGTTTGGGAGATCTATTTCCGACAAAGACCATCACTAGGATGCTGAAAAGGACCGCACAGGTCTATCACCCTTTCACCTTTGTAAAATTGTATAGGATCCGAGATGATAATTGCAGAGTTCCCCACACGTTCACAACACTTCATATCCCGTGCCACTAATCACTGCCCTTTTACCCCCACCCTCCCTTTAAAGAGCGTGAATGACACGAATAATAAAATGAAAAATAATAATAAACCCCCTAGGTTTTCTCTATGCATCAAATATACCCCTGACCTTAATCATGATGAAACCGTACAAAAAAGGTCAAATTTTACAGTACAGCCTTAAAAAGGAAGACAAAACAAAAAGGCGCTTCAATCCCAGATTTTCAATTTCTTTTTTGTATATGCAACAATATATATATATATATATATTATAACAACTGTTAAATTTTCATCTTTTTATAAAAATTTAATCATATTTTTTTATCATTGGATAAAAAGGAAAATGAAAGAAAGAGGGTATATCTGACCAGAAAATAAGTTTTACCTGGTGGAGCTGCTGTGGAGGCTGGGGGGGCGGCGGCGGTGAAGGGCGAATATGCTGAGCTTGCATTTGTCCAAACGGTGGAAACAAGCTTACCATATGCATAGAATCTCTATCCTGACACAAAGCAAAGTTACAAAAAGAACACATGATGACTAAAGTACCCTTCTATTTTCCATATTACTAAACATATAATTATGAAAAGGTTGGAACAATTTTTTAAGAAAAATGTCATTTTCCCTTAAGTCCAAGTTTGGATTAATTTCCCAGCAGGAAAAGGCCGACTTTAAAGAGGGAAAAATAGGTCCAAAGTGAAAACTTTGCAGGTAAAATTTCAGAAAATAATGTTCCTATGCCTAATATCATCTTATCATTTATGCATAGATTGCTTAAATTCTATCAGATTTTTCTTTTTCGATTCTTCATATCGGTGAAAAAGACAACCCAAAGCTGCAATAATTCATTAGTGATGGACAAAATGAAATTATAAACCCATATTTTGTAACCATCCTTCAAAAGGAAAGGGAAAGTGGAAGAAAGATGAGTAGAAAACATAACAAAAATAAAGGGTTTTAATTGATGAAAGAAGAATGATTGATTTCATACACTGATCCCACCAACAGCTGAAGCAGCTGAACACGAAGCATTGTTGTTGTTGCTGCTGCTGCTGTTATCAACAACTCCATCTTCATGTCTCAAGAATCCATGTTCCAAATTCAACTCTAAAGGCATCATTCCCATCCCTCTAAACCCTCCACCACCGCTTCCACCGGTTGCACCACCACCACCTCCGCCGCCGCCGTATCCCGGTGGTACCGACAGGATCTGCTCGAAGAAATCATCACCTAACCCGGCTTCCTGTTGATTACCTGCCATATCCAAAACACAAAACAAAACAACTCCTACTCCTACTCCTCCTTCTACTACCCTCTATTGCTCCTGTATGCATGAATCAAAAGACGTGTTTTTTGATGTTTTTAGATAGTGAAAAAATATTCTAAAACTGGGTTCTTGTGGAAAGTCATGGGGTTATAAGTTGAAGGGGGGTAACCGAGAAAAGGTGTTGGTGAAATGGGTGGCAGATTTGGAGCACAAGAATCCGGAAAGAAAATTGTGGATTCCAAGAAGAATTCTCAAGTTATGGACTGTGTTTTCTGAGTTCCAGACACAGCTATTGCGCTCCCAGGTATGGTTTTAAATGGAAAAGTGAGAGCAAAAGAACAATAATAATAATAAATAAAAGAGAGAGAGAGATGGTTTTTAGGCCAAGTCGAATAGAAGAGAGAGTGGGGGAACAAGAAAACAAACCAAGTTTATAAAGAAATCAATGGGGGTGATTATTGCGCTTTGATGAACTCCATCCTGATTTATATAGATAATATATAATTCTATATATTCATACTAAATTAAATAATTATAAATTGTTCGAAAATTATAAAATTAAATTTATTAAATTCTAATTTTAACATAATCACCTTTAGAAATTATCAGTTTCATGTCAATCGATACTTTGAATAAATTTCTTCGTTTTTGAAAATTATAAGCTTTCCATCATTTAAGACTTTTAGATAGACTTCTTTGTTTGCTGAAGTTCTTAAGGAATTTATATCCTTCGAAAATAAGATACTCATAGCCTCTGAACCAACTATAGTGCATAGGTAATACCTCTAATATACTCACGTGGTCTATTAGAAAAAAATTTAAGTCAGGTCTAGTTAGTTTGTTGACCTACAAATAGTCAAAATTATCTTATGTCTATCATCATCATCAGTTAAGATAATATAAATACCTCTCAACTACTATTAAGAGAAGGGTCATCTCCATTTTCTTCTCTTTTTTCACTATTATCTTTCTCCTTATGTTTTCTTATTTCTCACAAAGAAGCACCAACCAAAAACCGTCACCTCATCTTTCGTGTCTCTCTTTCCAAATTCAAAGGGTAAATTGCCAATAGTCAATAAGATAAACATATCCTCATAAATAATAGGTGCAATAAGCGTGGACGAGCCTCACAACTGAGAGAATCAATCGAACATCAAAGTAATCATCCTCACCTCTCATTTACTTGTTAGAATCTACCCAAATGTATATGATTTTTCTGGCCAATCCATTGTAAAGGGGTAAAAAAACAAATCACATAAAAGAAAAAGAAAGAAGGGACAGCGTGAATGATACAATTTGTCCCTCTCACCAAGATTATTCCTCCCACGAGGGAACGTCTTTGAAAGCGTAAGGGTCACACCTTGAACAATAACGTTTACTTGAGGTTAACATGGAAAAGTTGGAAAGCTTCTACAATGGTACTCTACATCACCTTTTAGGCGGGTAACCATAATACTTAATCATTAGCCTGTGTTGATAGAGATATCCTCGTGAGAAATTGTCAAGGAATAGCTCTCCTAGAGACTATCCGAAGAACTCTTAGCGTATGTATTAAAAAACCCTTCATTGATATATTATGTGAGGACCAAAATATATAAAAGATCAGTATATGAGATTATGTGACTTATGGATAACATAAAAAGAGTATTGATCGGGGTTTTAAATTTGTAGAAATGACTAGGTCGTACTCCCCATGATTCCGATCTAGAGTATGCTCTTATCTGTCGATTCAAAGCGTGAGAAACTCTAGAAGTACTCCTATCCAGGTACTTAGAAAGATCTCTCTTAAAATAAAATATAATATTTGAACAAATAATACATACAAATATTTAGATTTTGATCTCTCTTTTTATGTGTTGAGTCTCTAGGTACATTTCCATTATCCTCACCTATGTTACCACAACGTGAGATATCTTCACTATGCCACGAAAGAGATGTCTCTCTTTATTGCTAATAATGTTGAGTTACCTTCGTTCTTAATGTTGAGATGATTCAACTCTTTTCTAAACTTAAATAACATTATCACCCGAGACTGAGAAAAGGTGTTGAGATGCATTCGTCATTAACTATATAACCCTCGAGTTGTTTTCGCACCTATAGAACTGTGAATTGTCTCCGAGGGTGTTGAGTTGTCTTTTCCCTTAACTTACGACTATGAATATATCTAAAGGGTTAAGATACCTTCATTTTGACGTCAATATGTATTTTTCATGTTTCTAATACGATAAAGATACCTTAATTCTACTACAACAAAGATGCCTTTATCGTTAAGTGTGGAGAATCCTTCAACGGGTAGAAATAGAGATAACTTCGCTCAAATCTAAATTTTTAATACGATTTTATAAGGATGTAGAGATTCTTCACAACATAAGCATCAACACACCTTAGTCCACTTAAATGATTAAATGAATCACAAATAAATACAAGATTTAAAGACTCACTCAAACAACGAGGTGTGGAAATAATTAATAGATAGTTTGACCTAAAAAAATCAAAAGAGATGAAGTATAAAAGGGGCCAAAATTTTATTCAGTTAAAAGATTTTGTACAAAAATACTAAAATCACCTACTAGAAAATTAAATTTAAGTCAAATAATCTTCAATAAATGCCTCTAAACCTACAACTTAAGTCCTCAAAGGTCCTTCTAGAGTTCGAGAGATGCCTCATAAATGTGTGTGTGTGTGTGTGTGTGTGTGTGTGAGTGTGTGTGTGTGTGTGTTTCTTGGCGGGATTGGTAATTTTCATTTTTTTTGGGGGACCGGGGGGCTACAGCCCCTCCCAACATCTAGGGATGGCAAAAAAACCCGAACCCGACGGGGAAAACCGAAAACCGAATTAAACGGGTCGGGTTCGGGGATGATAAACGGGGACGGGTATGGGGACGGGAAAAACCCATTTATTTTAAACGGGGACGGGGACGGGGACGGGTTTGGTAATCCCCACCCCGATTACTCGATTACCCGCCCCGATAAATATTAAAAATAATATATATATATATATATATATATATATATATAATATTAATAAATTTAATTTAAATAAAAAATATATATTTATATATTTAATTTAAATATATATATATACCCGGCCCGATTCTCAGCCCAATACCCGACCCAATACCCGGCCCAATACCCGTTTAAATAACCGTTTATGCTAAACGGGGATACCCGTTTCCCCGCGGTTTTCCCCGATTACCCGACGGGGATCCCCGTTTAAATCCCCGTGGTTTTTTAAACGGAGACGGGTACCGGTTTTTTAAACGGGGACGGGGACGGGGGGACCAATACCCGACCCGTTGCCATCCCTACCAACATCCATATAGATTCGTCCTTGATGGCCAGGATTTAGATTATAGGCGAGCTTGTGTTTTTTATTGCTTAATGTTTATCATGATTGTGAATATAGCGAGCATTATTGTAGATATCGCGGTTTAATAACGGTTTCAAACAATATCATTATCTCTATGTAACGGATGCTATTACAATAGCGGACCACTATTTAAATCTATGCTCATGGCTTTGTTTTATTCTCGAAGCTGTTATGCGTTATTTAAGAATTTGGGCTTCAATGGAGATTTTGTTAGGGTTAGGGTGAATAATTAGAGTAATTGAGTAAAAAAATTACTTAACATAATGTCTAAATCTGCTTAAGCTTTAAATCAATTTTTTATTAGTATTATTTTAAGTTAATTGTATCATATATCTTCAAATTATAACTCTCGTTTTAAATTAGTCTTTAAACTTTTAAATATTCCGACTTTATTCCTATATTGTGACTTCCCTTCTAAATTAGTCTTTAAACTTGAAAACATTCTAATTTCATCCCTAAACTATGATCCTCTTTCTAAATTGGTCCCAAAACTTTTAAATATTCCAATTTCATCCTCAAATGCATCAAAATATGTAATTAGTTTCAACTACAATTTAACCTAAACTTTTTTACAAACATATAATAATATACATTGGCCTAACGATTTTATTAAAATGGGATGTGATTAGTATATATGTATAGTTTAAGATAAAATTAGATTGTTCAACAAGTTTGGGGATCAATCTAGAATGAAGGTCATATTTTGGGGATAAAATTAAAGTATCTAAAATTTGAGGATTGATTTAGAATGATAGTCATAGTTTAAAAATAAAATTACAATATTTAAAAGTTTAGAGGCCAAATTAAAATTAATATATTACTTTAAGGACATATGATACAATTAACTCGAATTATTTAACGAGTTCAATGTTTTTTATAAAGATTTCATGTAACACCCGAACCCCGGGTTAAAAGTTTTGGGCTAACCCAAGATGGGCTTTGGATTTAATTCTAGCTTGTAAGAAGGTTTGCCCTCAAATTTAAGTGGATTTGGGCTTGAGACAAGCCCAATAGATAGTAAAAAATGTGTTTTTAAAACTTAGCTAAAACCAGAAGCACCCAGAAGGTAATTAGACCTAAGTTCAAAGCAAAGGCTAAATCACCATTTATGAACAGTGATATCATGTCTGATTTCTTTGTCCCCTATTTTCGTCATCTTTGTCTTCTCTCCCAAACTCCCTACCTCTTTTTCATCTTCTTTCTTAATTCTCTAAGTAAAAGGTTAGAACTTTAGCTCCCTTCAGGCATTCTTCAGTAACATCAAGGTAAGAAACGAATTCAACACTTCCCGGTCTTTCTTTTAAGCTCTCAAACCACCCATTTCATCATAGTTCTTAATAACAGGTTTTGTGAGGGTTTAAAGGATTTAAATATTTCAGTCAGTTTCTAGTAAATTCTAGGTGTTAGAAGAGTCTTTAAAGCCCTTAAAACCTTTGAACTCCATTAGTACACTTGTATTTGGTTGTGTTTAATACAAGAGGTTGTAGAAGACTCCAAAGCTAGGGGAAAGAAAAACTTACCTTGGGTTGAACTTTTGACGTTTCCAATAGTCTAAGATCATCAGGTAACTCACTCTAAACTCATATATACCAAATGTAGCTCATTTAGATGAGATTAGTAAGTTGTATAAGTTTGAAGCATGTTCATGGTAGTTTGCATCTTTTGTGTGTTTTTAGCATGTTAAAGACCTTTTTTATGACCCTCTTTAACAAATAAAACACTTAATAATCAATTGGGGACCTCAGTGGGGTGTTTAGGGATAAAAAGATGGGATTTTCATGCCAAAACAAGACACTCAGCAACAATGGTATTGATATTGTATAAACAATATTGGTATTGTTCGTTATTCAGGCATAAAACAGACAAATTTATAAGGGAAGTATCGATACCAAGGCATGAGTATCAATACTCCACATAGGGGTATAGATATTGGGAAAATTTTTAAAACATTGAACCTAAATTTGGTATCGATACTCAGTTAAGTATCGATACCCTAGCACCAGAGTATCGATATTCAATATAGAGTATCGATAATGTCTTTCACCATCAACCGCGTAAGACTGGGGTTATCGATACCAAGGGTTCGATATCGATACTGAAGGGTCAATATCAATACCCACGAATAGAAATTGGCAAAAAATCAGGATTTAAGGATCAGGCTCGAGGTTCCCTAATACACTTGAATAACAACAAATAAGACTTCAAACGATAACAATAATTAATATTAGAAGAGTAGAAACAGTAACAGCTAGGGTTACATAAAACTAACCTTGTTTGACATCTGGGAAACAGTCAGGACACCCGAGTTACTCTGAGCAGAGATACGACAATTAGTGGATCCAAGTTAGTGCTTCGACACTTCAATAGCAGACTGGGCTCCAGATGCCCCAAGATTCGACGGAGTGGTTGACAAGTGCAAGTTTTTGCTGACAGAATTCTGGACTTCCAGTCGGTGGGCTTGAAGTGTGTGAGCGTTGAGATGATAGAATTCCTCCGCCGCACCATGATACTTACCCCAATGTAGCAGCCTAGGTTTCAGTATATTATGTATTCACATGTTTCAAAATCGTGCCGTTAGCTAGTTCTTTTAATGAATACATATAGTATAATACAATTTTTAGTGAGGCACTGAGCTCGTAAGCTCAGCGTTTGGAATATGTTTCCGTACGTAGGTTCTTAGGGGAATATTACAGGGAGCTATCGTCATCAGATATTCCAGTGCAGCATATCATATTCTAAGAGACCTTTTAGAGTACGTCTTGAGTCATCTTTAGAGGGCATGTACTTTTATGGATCCGTGTTATGTATTCAGTCGTAACTCATTTTGGAACTCATTATTTTGTACTATTTTTGTGGATGTATTTTGGGAGCTCTCCGTAACTGGTAAATCTAGTTTATTATTATGTTTTTATATTATATTATGGTTGTCTAAATTTCAGTGATTTACAAGCAGATTTAAAAAAAATTGAAACACTATTTCGGTAGTCTCATGTAACATTGTAATCCATGGATTTTCGGGTCAAATTGAATTATAGTGATACATTTAATAGGTTCAATTTAAATGACATAATTTATCCATAATATAATTTTTAGAGTTGTAATTTGATCGATTATAAATTTTTAACCTACATGGGAGTTGATACTAAATTTAGTGATTTGCTTTGACGAATTTAAATATATGTGATTTATATAAAAGTTGGCATTAACTTCAATGACTCATAATATATATTGCTTTAAAAAATTAAAGGGATCGGAATAGTCTAGATATTAACTACATCTTTGACCTTTTAATAAATAAAAATCCAAATAAACATTAAACAACATATAGTATTTCAACTTAGTTTAATTGTTAAACTTTTAATAGTCAATTACATCATATGTCACCAATCTTTGACCATTATTTTAAATTGGTCCCTAAACTTTTAAATATATTAATATTATCCTTAAACTATGACTATCGATCTAAATTAGTCCTCAAACTTTTGAATATTTCATTATCATCCCTAAACTATGATCTTCATTTTGAATTAGTCCCCAAACTTTTAGAATATTTCAGTTTCATCCTAAATTATACGTATATACTAATTACATCTCTTGTTAATAAAATCATTAGGCCAAGTTATATTATTATATGTCTGAAAAAATAAAATTTAGGTTAAACTATGGTTGAAATAGGTTATATATTTGGATGAATTTAGGGATGAAATTGGAAGATCTAAAAATATTAGGGAATGAAGTTCATAATTTGGAGATGTAAATGGAATGTTCAAAAGTTTGAGGACTAATTTAAAATGATAGTCATAGTTTAGGGATGAAATTAAAATATTTAAAAGTTTATATATCAATTTGAAATGAGGGTCATAGTTTGAGGACATATGACGCAATTAACTCAAATTTTAATTAGATTAACATCATTACTAATACAATAACGTAAAAAATTAAGTTTTAATATGTTTAGAACTCCTTAAGTGGATACAGTACTTTAGTGTTATTCCCCATAGACGTTTTGAGTTCGAATAACTGTATTTGTAGGGTGTGTATACACTATCAATGGTCAAGAAAGATTTTAAACAAATACTAATTTATAATAACCTTAGCTATTAAAAAATAGAGTATTAATGTGTTTATATACCCAACTTCCTTGAACTCATTAAGCAACATTAATGGTTAAAATAAGTGTTATTCTTTCTAGATATCCCAGAGATAGGTCTATATAGAGAGTGGGAATGGCTCTTACCCCTCCCAAAATTTTTGATTTAATAGCATTTTAGGTCCTTACAAGATTAAATTTAAGTAAAATTAGACTTTTACTATCTCAAATATTTTAGATTAAATACATAATAAGTCCTCATTATTTTGAATTTAGGTATATTACCTCTCCCAATATTTAATCCCGACTCTATCCCTAAACTCTCGTTCGAACAATTAATTTTACAAAATGTATATAAGTTATCAATAACTAAGAAAATTTATTAACATATATGAAAAAAAATATTCTCTTCAAATTCAAATATTTTTTTAAAGAAAAGTAGGTCTCATTAAAAACCTCTTCTAATCATACTAAGGGGAAAAGAGTGCCAAAATATATTACTGAAAACTCATGTTACAAGCTACATCAGCTGCAATAATCTTGGGACAAATCGAGTCCAAAAAACAAAGAATTCCTTAATCGTAAAGCCCAAGCGGCAAAGTTATGAGCCATAGTATTACAATCCCGCCTAGCAAACTGGATTACAAAAGACTCATTACAAACGAAAAGAGCCTTTTCTTATCGGATATGGAAACCTATAGTAGAAAGATCTGCAATCTAATCTCTAATCTTGTTCACAGCCATAGAAGAATCCGATTCAAAAACCATATTTGTCCACTGATTCTCAATTGCAAACCTCAGACCAGCTACCAACGCATGAATTTTCACAATCCCGGCTTGAAAATCAGTATCATCTCGTGCAATGACTCCAACCGCTACTATATGTTGTTGGGTGTCAAACGCCCCATCCAAATTGATTTTAACAACACCAGGGTCAGGAGGACGACACTTCTGTCTCTCAGCGTAGCTCTACAATTGTCGAACTAGATGTCCGACAGTCGTTTGTGTTGGAAATGAAACACTCACACAGAAAACTTTTATTAAAACTCAAACAAATATTATAAGAGCACTCTCACTCAAAAACAAGATACTACAACTCACTCTTATAAGACTTTGCTTCTTTACTCACTTAGAAGCTCTTAAGTTTTCTAGATGCTTAAACTAAAATGAGGAGGGGTATTTATACTACTTAAGAATAATCCTACAACACACAAATAAACTAATTTAAACCATTAAAAAATAGACAAATACCTAACTCTCACCTAACTAATTTGATGTAAGCAATGACATCTTCACCTAACAAATTGATGTAAGTAATGACATCAAATTAGTTTGGGTGTAGGTTTAGGCTCCCATAATGGATCAAGTTTATGATCCAACACCCCCCTTAAACTTGATCTTGTGACCCCTAGGAAGTTTCTTAATCTTATGAAGTATTCGCTTGGTAAAAATATCGGCAACTTGATCTTGTGACTTTACGTATTCAACATCTACATCATTTCTTACAACACACTCTTATATAGTGGTAGCGCATATCGATGTACTTGTTTTGATCATGGAATACTGGATTCTTTGCTAAGGAAATAGCTGACTTGTTGTCGACACAAACCTTGGTAGGCTCTTCTTGTATCAAACTATCTCCTTCAATAGATTTCTTAGCCAAATTGCATGACAAACGTATGAGGTAGCATCAACATATTCCGCTTCACAAGTAGACAATGTGACAATCGGTTATTTCTTTGACATCCATGTGAAAGTAGAATCTCCCATGAAAAATATGAATCTGGTAGTGCTCCTTTGATTATCTATGTCTCCACCCCAATCACTGTCGCTATATCCAACAAGCTTGTAATCATTAGAAATTGAATAGAACAAGCCAAATTCAATTGTACTTTTCAGATAGCGAAGAATTCTCTTTGTGGCTTTAAAATGGGTGGTTTTTGGAGATTACATGTAGTGACTAACCAATCCAACTACGTGAATAATATTGGGCTTCGTGCAAGTTAGATAGCGTAGACTTCCCACCAAACTTTTGAAGAATGTTGGATCTATACTTTCGCCTTCTTCATGTTTGGACATCTTGATCTCGTATTTTGTTGGTGTGCTTATTGGCTTACAGTTCTCTATCTTGAACTTCTTCAAGATCTCCTTTGCATAGTTTTCCTGTGAAATGAAAATTTCATCATTTTGTTGCTTAACTTCAATGCCAATGTAGTATGCCATGAGCCCCATATCTGTCATCTCAAATTCTTTCATTATCACATCCTTGAATTCATTAAACATGCTTGGGTTGCTTCCGGTGAAGATCAAATCATCCACGTAGAGGCACACGATCAAAATATCTCTATCTTTGATCTTGATATATAGAGTGTGCTCGTAGGGACATTTGTTGAAGCTATTCTATTGGAAATACTTGTCGATTCGGCTATTACATGCCCTTGGTGCTTGTTTTAGCCCGTAAAAAGCCTTCTTTAACTTCAACACCTTGTCTTCGTGCCCTTTGACTTCGTAGCCTGATGGTTGCTGAATGTAAACTTCATCTTCAAGAACTCCATTTAGGAAGGCAGACTTTATATCCATCTATTGTATCTTCCACTTGTTTTGAGCTGCCAAAGAAATGATTAGTCTGATAGTCTCCAATCAAGCAACATGAGCAAATATCTCATCATAGTCAATTACAGCCTTTTGACTATAACCTTTAGCAACTAGCTTCGCCTTGTGCCTTTCAATATCTCCTTTGGCGTTTTGCTTTGTTTTGTACACCCATTTGACACCTATCGTCTTATGTCCCTTGGGAAGTAAGGTAAGTTCTCATGTGTCATTCTTCTCGATGGTCTTGATTTCTTCATCCATTACATCTCTCCATTTCTTTTCTTGTACTGCTTCTTGAAAGCTCATTGGTTCACAATCGACAAACAGACAAAATAACGTAATATTATCTTGTCGTTCAGTTACCTCATAGAGATCTCTAAGGCTTCTTGTACGTTGCACAACTCTTTCACTTTAATTCCCACTTGACGATGATGAAGGTGATGAGTCTCCTTGAGTGGTTGATGTTGGTGAAGTGGGTAAAGTTTCAAGCTCTTGTTGAGGTTCACCTAGTTGTTCCCTCATTGTCTGCTCATCTTCTTCAAACTAAGGAAAGAAATTTAAGTCATCTGCATAAGAGTTAAAATCTCATTCTCCTTTTTCATTGAAGACCACATCTCGACTAATCACAATCTTCTTATTGTCTGGATTGTACAGCTTGTAGCCTTTCGAATTAGAATCATAGCCAATGAAGATAAAACTCTCGCTTTTATCATTAATCTTCGTTCTCCTCTCGTCTGGTACGTGAACATGTGTTATACTTCCAAAGATTATCAAGTGGGAAATGTCAGGCTTTCTTCCACTCCATGCCTCTTGCGGTGTCTTTCCCCATACACTTCTTGTTGGAGATCGGTTTGACAAGTAGATTGCACACACTAGTGCTTCTGCCCAAAATTCCTTGGGTAGTTTCTTACTTTTGAGCATGCTTCATGCCATGTCGAGGATTATTCTGTTCTTTCTTTCTGTCACACCATTTTGTTGGGGGGATCTAGGAACTGTCATTGGTCAACAAAATCCATTTGCTTTACAGAACTCTTGAAACTCCCTGGAAGTAAATTCTCCACCTCTGTCGGATCTTATGACTTTGATTTTTCTACCACTTTCTCTCTCCACTACTGCTTTGAACTTCTTGAAGACTTCGAAAACTTCTGACTTCTGTTTCAAGAAATATACCCTGGTTTTTCTTCAAAAATCATCAATGAAGAGAAAAAAATAGTTATTGTTACCGAGAGAGCTTGGCTTGATCAGTCCACACACATCGGTATGGATGAGCTCAAGTGGCTTTTTGGCTCTTATCTCTGACTTCTTTGGAAAAATTTTCCTGAATTGTTTTTCGACTAGACACCCTTCACAAAGCTGGTCAGGATGGTTGATGCGAGGTAGTCCCTTCACCATCTCCTTCTTAGATAGCATCTCTAGACCTCCAAAATTGAGATGCCCAAATCGAAGATACCAAAGCCATGATGCATTTTTGTAGCAAGCTTTCAGGCACTTTGTAACATCATTTTATATGTTGATCAAGAACATTTTATTCTTTGACATCGACACCAATAAAGTTATTTTTATCATCTTTTATAAAAAGATTATAATTATTCATATGAATATCATAACCTTTCTCTGCCAGTTGCCCTAAACTTAAGATGTTACTTTTCATATTGGGCACATAGTAGACATTTGAAATAAATTGATGTCTCTCATCTTTCGAATAGATAAGGAGGTTACCGTTCACTGTTATTGTGGAATCATCTCCAAACGAAACATTTCTGCTTACTGACTCGTCTAGCTCCACGAACATGTCTTTCCTTCCACACATGTGATTGCTTGCACCACTGTCAAGATACCATGAATTTGCTTGGCCACCATCACTTTTCTTTCGTGCTAGAAGAAGAGTTTCTTTGCCATCTGTCTATTCCTCCACGTAGTTGGCATTCTCCTCAATTTTCTTGTTGGGAACTCTACATTCTGAAGCATAATGCCCAAACTTCTGACAATTATAACATCGAACTTGAGATTTGTCATACTTTGAGTTCAGATTGATTCTTCCACGGCCTCGTGTTGAGTTTTCTCCTTTCTCATAGTTGTTGTTGGAATTATTATTATTGTAATTCCAACCTCATCCACGACTGCGTCTTCCACCTCGTCCATGGCCTTTACCTCTGCCTAGGTCACGTTGGTTTCTATTATTGCGTTGGATTTCATGCATATCTTTGAGTTGCAGCTTGAAGAGTTGCTCAGTAAACTTATGCTTCTTCTTATGCTTCTCTTCATATGCTTGCAATGATCCTTGGAGTTGCTCGATCTTCATTTCTTCTAAGTCTTTAGTTTCTTCAATCATCACGAAGATGTGCTCAAATTTGGGATCCAACAAACAGAGTATCTTCTCTATTATCCTCACATATTCTAACTTTTCACCATTTCTTTTTAATTGATTAAAAACAATCACTACTCTTGAGAAATAATCTAAAATATACTCGGATGCTTTCATGTGTAAGGATTTGAATTCACCTCTTAATGTTTGGAGATGAACCTTCTTCACTTGCTCGGATCCTTTGTAAGAGGTTTGCAGCTTCTCCCACGCTTCCTTGCTAGAGCTTGCACTCAAAATCTTTTCAAAACCATCATAATCTAATGTTTGATAAATGAGGTAGAGAGCCTTCTCTTCTCTCTTTCTTGAATCATTCAAAGTTGTCTTCTGATCTGGTGTAAGAGTAGCAAAAACATCATCATCCGCAGGCTCGTTATAGCCTTTCTCTAAGATATTCTACATCTTGTGATCCAAGAAGTGTATTCATTTTGATACTCTAGTTATCATAGTTGTTGTTGTTGAGTGTCATAACTTAGAATTGTGTCATACCATTTGTCATTTCTCTCAATATAATGAGAATTTACAAAATCCAATTGCATAGATGAATCTGGAACGCCGAAAAATCTTGGGAGGGACTTGGACAACTCGGTCAAGGGGCTCTAACTCGGCTGACTCAGCTCAACTCGGTGAGTCAACTCAATTTTCTGGCAACAGTCTTCCGGTGGTGCGTGGCGACGCGTCAGAACTCAAATTGAGAAGATTTTGGCCGCAGAGGATTCCTCTCGTCGAGACCTTCTATCTTTCCAAGTGGCTCTGATGCCACTTTGTTGGAAATGAAACACTCACACAAACAGCTTTTATTAAAACTCAAACAAATATTACAAGAGCACTCTTACTCAAAAACAAGATACTACAACTCACTCTTATAAGACTTTGCTTCTTTACTCACTTAGAAGTTCTTAATTTTTTTGATGCTTAAACTAAAATGGGGAGGAGTATTTATATTACTTAAGAACAATCCTACACCACACAAATAAACTAATTTAAACCATTAAAAATAGACAAATACCTAACTCTCACCTAACTAATTTGATGTAAGTAATGACATCTTCACATAACAAATTGATGTAAGCAATGACATCAAATTAGTTTAGATATGAGTTTAGGCTCCCATAATGGATCAAGTTTATGATCCAACAGTGTGGGCTGCTCTCCGAGCAGCGTGGCTGCTGGCCGATTGATACTCATTTTGCAAAACCAGTGCATTCAAAGCAATAAGCCATGGAGGCTGTAGTTTATCCTCATGCACTTGTGCATTCCATCTATTCCAAATATTCCATAACAAAACAGCAGAATCAGCAAAACGGTCGCCGCTAAACGTTTGAATCAGCATCTCAATCCAACATAGACCCGAGTCCCCAATCAGAAAGCTGGGCACACCAGTAAATCCAGCCAAAGCAATGGCTTTTTGAGCATTCCAACACCCACGAAAGATATGGTCCAAAGTTTCATCAGCTATTCCGCACATAGGACAAATCCCAGAACCTAATCCCGCTTCACGCAGCCGTTTACCCATGGGCAAACCATCGTGAGCCAATCTCCATATAAAGATACGAATTTTCGGAAGAACAGGTAATTTGGCAATAGCATGCCATACAGGTGACGTATGATTCGACAAATGCTGTGGGCGTTGTAGCCACCAGCAACCCGACCGCACAGAGTATACCCCCGAGTTATGGAATCCCCATATTATTACCTCCACTGTACATGGAGCAATAGTGGTAGCTAGAATCAGATCTGCATCTTCCGTTGTGAACATTTCACGAACTTTGGATTCAACCCAGATCGGTCTCCCAGGCTCCATGAACAAGGAAGCTCGAAAGCTCTCTGAAGGGACAGACGAATAATCCCCAGTGAGCACAAGCCTAGTAGAGCCAAATTGGGGGGGTAAATTCAAATATTTAGTTTGATAGAGATAGAGATATGAGTTATATTTACAAGATGGGGGATAAATTGGTGGGGTTGTAGTATCCTCTTTCTTCCTTAAATAATTTGGTCCCAATGTCTGCATGTTTTCACGTGTCCTGCTATCACCATGGCCTTCAATTACAGCATCACCTACCCCATAGGATTCGAAGGACCCCAAAAGAAATATCCTTTTCCAATCCCTCTTTGCTGGTTGTTTCCCTCACTCTCATGCCTGTTCACTGGATCCCACTCTCTTTTCATATTTCACTTTCATCAACCCTCAATTATGAAACCCTATTTCTTCCATTTCAATCTTCAAGGCCAAAACTCTTTTGTGTTATTAATATCCATATTTATATTAAATAAATTAGAATATATATCTTTATTTTAAAAATCTATTCTTTTTAAAAACTAGTGTTTAATATATTATTGGCACAATAATATTTTAATTGTACAACTAATATTTAAATATTATTTTATATCTTAAACCTTAAATTTTAAAACCTCTGCTCTCTAATTTATAAACCTTAAAGTTTAAACAATAACCTTTTAAATTTTAGTGAATATTTTTCTAACCATCTCAGTTCTGGTTAAAAATTTGAATTAAACAACTCTATCAAATTCTCTAATATAAGAACTAAATTACAATAACGACAAAACCTAACAATGATCTAATCATATCAAATTATCAGTAATAAAATAATAGATGTATAAGCGTATCTGAATTAATTGATTGATTGTAATCTTTTAATCCCTTTGACGGGATAAGAATAATATAAATTAACCTAATTTTTTTTAGACCTTTACCTCTATATATATATAATGAACATTAGGTCAATCTATTAAATATCTATAATGTTGTCTCTCGTCAAACTATAAATACAACTTGTAGTATCTATACTTTAATACCTACAACACATATAACATAATTGGTTACTTAATTTTATGTCATAATTTATGATGATATTGTATATTATACATATGTACCATAATTATAAATTTTAATCCAACATTTTATGGTGTATAAAATTACTCTTTTCTTAAAATTCTTTTATATAATATATATTATCAGTGAATTCACTACGTAGTTCATTTAAATAATAGTGGTGATGTTAAAAAAATAATGGTGGTACATGTACGAACCAAGTAACCTAGTGGTAAACGAATTGTTATTTTTCAAAGTCTTAAATTCCAGTACGAGAAATATCAAGAATATAAACGTTCAATATTAAATAATTGATAATTATATTTAGAGAGATTCTACATTATACTTATTTGAGATTAATAAAAAAAATTGGCTATGCATGAATTTGGTGGAATGGTAGTCATTAAACTAAGAGTTAATCCAAAAAAGCAGCAAGAACTTAACCTTAATTGAACATTAATGAGTTGGGGTCTCATTGGACGGTGACTTCACTTGCAACCAAAAGGAGTATGGTGGGCTATCTTTTCTCTTCCGACGACAGGACAAAATCCTTGATAAATGAGAGAGAGAGAAAGAAGAAGATAAGAATCATATTAGAGATTGATATATACAAAAAAAAAAAAATTGCAGCATTTTCTTCACTGTAATCTGCGTTTCTTTCTGCTCCAACCAACTTCACTCCTAAGAAATTCCAAGATGTTCGATGGAGTGCCGGTGCCGGACCAGTTCCACCAATTCATAGGCGGCGGCGCCTCATCAGCAACCGCGAGAACCGCCACCACCACTCTCCTTCTCCCCCTTTCTTTCACTTCTTTTGACCCTTTGTTCACTTCTTCTTCTTCAAATTCCCATCATCATCAGCCTTCTCAATTGTTGCAGTCGTTGCACCAGCAGAAGAATAGCGAAGATGCCAACACAAGCTTAGTGCCTATGAACATGGAAATTAATGAAAGAGATCAGAGATCCATGGCTGAACCAATTGACCATCATCATCAACACCAACCTTGGTCCAACGATGAAGTTCTTGCACTGTTGAGGGTCAGATCTAGCATGGAACCTTGGTTCCCAGAATTCACTTGGGAACATGTCTCAAGGTACACTCTCACATACATACATACATGTTCATTTCGTTCACTTCTTGATCCTATTTTCTAAATTCTGATCAATGAAACAATGAATATTTATGGAGTTGTTGCTAATAAAAGAGAGAGAAGGGTACTTGTATTGTAATTAAATAAACAAAGAGGGCTAGGTAATAGTATTTTTATAAGTGAATAATGGACAGTAAAATAGAAAGAATGAGTGTTTGATATATACATATATACATACACACAATTATGGTGGGTGCAGGAAAGTGGCAGAACTTGGGTTCAAAAGGAGTGCAGAGAAATGCAAAGAGAAATTTGAAGAAGAAAACAGATATTTCAACACCATCAATTGCAGCAAAAACTACAGGATCTTTACTGAACTTGATGAACTTTGTCAAGCTGAGAACCCTCCTCCTCACCACCACAACAGCATAAGCCACCACCACCAGGAGGAGGAGAAGGAGGCGGTTGTGGTGTCTGATGAAAGCAACAAAAATGTGGAAGAAGAAGACAATATAGGTCAGAATTTGGAAGGTGATTCAAGAAATGTTGATGAATTATACCAAAATTCACCAGCAAACAACAATGCTGCAATGTCATCAGATCAGGATAACAAAAATGTGGTTGAAAACAAAGGAGATGACGATGATAACAAGGCCAGCAGCAAAAACAAGAACAGCAACAGCAACAAGAAGAGGAAGAGAGTGACGAAACTTGAGATTTTCAAGGGATTCTGTGAGGAAATTGTGAACAATTTGATGATCCAACAGGAGGAGATGCACAACAAGCTGCTTGAAGACATGGTGAAGAGAGATGAAGAGGAAGTTGCAAGAGAAGAAGCTTGGAAGAAGCAAGAGCTTGATAGGATTAACCAGGAGCTTGAGGTTAGATCTAAAGAACAAGCCATTGCTGGTGATAGACAGGCCACCATTATCAAATTCTTGACCAAATTCTCACAAAATGGATGCTCAAATCCTCCTCTTGCTGCTTCATCTTCTTCATTGCCAGTTGCAGAAAACCCTAATCCCATTGCCAATGACCATAACAAAGTTGCTCAAGTTGCAGAAAACCAAGCCAATCAAAACCCTAATCCAAAAACACCCACTCCACAAAACCCTAATTCACTATTGACACCATTGAAGGTAACCAAAGCTCCTAAAAACCCTACATCCTATGACAAAGAAGACATCGGAAAGCGGTGGCCGAGAGACGAGGTGTCGGCACTGATAAAACTGAGGTGCAGTCTTTACAACAACGGTGACCACCACGACAAGGAAGGAGCCGCCATTAAAGCTCCCCTATGGGAAAGAATCTCACAAGGGATGTTGGATTTGGGTTACAAGAGAAGTGCAAAGAGGTGCAAGGAGAAATGGGAGAACATTAACAAGTACTTCAGGAAAACCAAATACGTCAACAGGAAGAGGTCACTTGACTCTAGGACATGCCCTTATTTTCACCAATTAAGCACCTTGTACAATCAAGGAACACTCAGGTCGCCCTCCGAAGAGCCGGAAAACCACCCGCCTTTGCCGGAAACAGCCAGTACCGATTTATCTCGAAGGGTCGACGACAAAGCATCCATGCAAGTTTCTAAAGGTGACGAGACGAACAACATAATTCAAATACCAGATTTCGAATTCGAATTATAAATCACGTTACCATAGTGTTAGATAAACAATAGTGCTTTTTGGGGGGTTGAAATTTTTATTTTTATTAGAGATTCTGATGTAAACTTTCATGGAGGATGTATGGTATTGAGCACCGACACTATGGGAAATGAGAATTTAATTTCAGGGTCAGGGTCAGGGTCAGGGCTACATTCATTTTATAATTTATTTATGTTATTATTTTTTAAAAATTTCTATATTTATCGTAATTGATTGATTTAAACTCATACTTTAAATACAGATTTATGTTTACCATATGTAGGAAGGACAGTGTCCATGAGGGGCAGTTCACTGTTTCATGCCAAATAAAATAAAGGGTAAAGTATAGTAATGTTCACTGAACTTTTCTAAATCTTTCATTTAGGTCTCTCAACTTTTAAAACTTACAATACAATCCCCCAACATTTAGTCTATTTACAATATGATCCCCCAACAGTTACGTCAGGGACCATATTGCAAATAGACTAAATGTTAAGGGACCATATTGCAAACAAACTAAATGTTGGGGGATTGCATTGCAAGTTTTAAAAGTTGGGGGATCTAAATGAAAGCTTTAGAAAAGTTCAATGACCATTACTATACTTTACCCTTATTTTTATTAGGTGGTTATGTATTGATATGTTTTTGACATGTTATATTATGTTTGATATGTTAGTTTTATATTCATGTTGTAAGTTATATAAATTGATAAGTATGTCACCTATATGCGGTGTGTTATTATAGTTGGTAAGCATACAATAGGTAAATGTAAGAGGTGTAGTGTTTTGTATGTTAAAGATATGTTTTGAATATATATATTTGCTATGTATGGTGATGGATTTTGTATGATTCACCATGTATGAGTATGTTGTTATGTTTATATTTTAATTTTAGTAGTGATAAATATTGTATATGACTTGCTCGATGGAAAATTTTATTGCATATTTGGTGTGTAATTAATTGATGTACAACTGGAAAGATGGGTGTAAGTGTGATGTGTTGAGTATGATTCTATGTGCATTTTATAGTCATGGCATATCCACATATCTTATACTAAATTTCATAAGGTTTAGGAGTGATTTGGGTCATCCGAGATTCATCCAAAGTGGTTAAAATATTATTTCTTACACAATTTCAATATTTTGAAGCAATTATGTATTAGTTCCTCAATTTTGATTAATTTTATAAATAAAAAAGTTCTTAAATGATTTAATTTGACTAGGGAATTTTATAATAGTAATAAAAATGCTATAAGTATAGGATAAGTATTTAAAAGCTTTCAGTGACATCTTATTTCTTAGGTTATTGGTTCATTTTTTTATTAGGAGTAAAATTTTATTTCCTCCTTTTCTTTAGTATAGTATTGATATTAATTGATGAGATAAATATTAAAAGTGTATATGAATTTAGTTCAAATATGTTATATAGTACATAAATTATAATAATATACAATTATATATAATAAACTCCAATATTAATTTTATTTGTACACATAAAGTTTTGATTTCTATTCAATTGTATATATTTTAAAAAGTAGTTATATATGTTTTCTATATTAGATAAATAAAATTATTTTTTGCATACAATGTATGAACATAAAATAATATTACATTCATAACTGTATTAATACTTTTAATCAATATAATAATATTAATAATTTATGAAATTAAATTGGGATTTTATGTATATAATTGTATAAACTTCAAATCATGTATCATTTTATATATTTAACCGAAGCTCATCTATAATTTTGATATTTATCCCTATCAAATATTAAGATAATGTTTATTTAAAGTATAAAATTATTGTAAATTATCTTAAGTTTTATACTTCGCTAAAGTCTTGAAATATATTTACTTCTATTTATGGTGATTTTGTCACTACATCAAACATTTCAAGTAAAATAATGTTGTATCTTTAAAGAAGATTGTTAGGGAATTATTGTAATATAAATTTTAGGGTAAATTATAGTAATGGTACTAAACTTTTCTAAAACTTTTATTTAGGTCCGCAAGCTTTTAAAACTTTCAATACAGTCCCCCAACATTTAGTCCGTTTGCAATATGGTCCCCCAACAGTTACATCAGGGACCATATTGCAAATGGACTAAATGTTGAGGGACCATATTGCAAATAGACTAAATGTTGAAGGATTGTATTGCAAGTTTTAAAAGTTGAGGGACCTAAATAAAAGCTTAAGAAAAGTTCAGTGACCATTACTATACTTTATCTTAAAATAAAAACGATGCAGAAAGGAAATTCGGAATCTTTTCAGCCAAGAAAATGAGGTTTTGTTCGCTTGTTGCTGGAATTTTCAGAAAGATAACAGATAATATTAAAAGCAATATTAAACCCCAATATACAGATAACGTTAAAAACATAATCAAGAAAACTTATAAAAAGAGAAAATTAAAACATTTTTATTAATTTGGATAATTACAAGACAGTCCGGTGTTAGAACACAAGACCTCAATGAATAATTATAATTCTTTTACTATCGAGACTTCTTGGTTCGTATAGAAAAATAAAACATAAAAAAACTAAATGAGTATGAAAAAACAAAAAAATTAAAAGTAATATCTTTCCTTAAATCCTTCCATCAGCTTCCATTGAAGGTCTTAAAACATTAAGACTGTCATCAGAGATAATTTATGAAAAACGTAATAAAATAAATTTTAGAAGTAAATATCACAAAAAATAGGTCTTTATCCGCTTATATTTTTAAAGCCTTTCGTTGGAAACTTTTAATTGATTAATTTCAAATGTATTTAAAAAATAAATTAAAAAAGAGTTGAATTTTGAAATTCAATATTTCGAATTTCGCAAATGTAGATTACGACGACAAAACAGCGGCAGTGACATTACGTTTTCTGACTGTCTTTTTAAGGGACCCACCGCATGATCCGATTCTCCATAGAAAATTAAAAAAGAGTAAATTACAAATTTCATCATTAAACTTTACTCTATCTTATTTACCCACTAATCTTTAAAAGTTTTTAATTTTCTCACTAAACTTAATATATTAGATTTTTTTGTTCACTTAACTTTTCTCTCTCTCCTTCTTTAGTCACTCCACCGTTAAATAGTTAACTGCGTTAAAAATGATACCGTTTTAAAAAAATAAAATTTTCACCAAAACAACACCGTTAAATAGCACATTTTAACGTTAAATTCAATGAAGAAATTGAAAATATTTAAAGTATAATAAGTGAAATATGAGAGAGAATAAAGTTTAATTACTAAATTTGTAATTTACCCATTAAAAATGACATTTTTTACACATGCGGTGAGTGTCTCTATAGTCTATACTCCTGTTAATGTAGTCTACACTCCTGTTAATATATATTTCTAAATTTAAGAATGAATCATTTTAAAAAAAAAATCATGTTTTTTTCTTAATTTTTCCTATCCTATTTAAAATTTGGATAAAGTACATAAATGGTATTTTAACTATATGATGTTATTTTATTAAATCATTCGACTATTAAAAGTTACAAAATGATGTTTCGATTATGAGAGTTTTGTTGAGTCCCTTAACTATTAAACTTTATAAAATAGTCACCTGAGTAGTCATTATGTTCTAAACTCGTCCTTTCCCGCTAAAAAATTGACTTCAATCGGAGTTGTATGTTAACATGCTGACTCAAATATAATAAAATATAATCTCATAATCTTAAACGATTATCATATCTCAGTCAACATATTAACGTAACGTCCAACTTAGAGGACCATTAAATTTTAACAAAAAAGAGCGAGTTTAAAACATAATGAATAGTAGAGTGATCATTTTTAACTTTTAATAATCAAAAATTTTAACAAAATAACTCCCCATAATTGAGGGATCATTTGTATACTTTACCCTTAAATTTTATGTAAGGACGGAACTAAGAATGAATCCTAATAGAAACAAATTACTTAAAATCTAAGAATTATTAAAATTAAAAAATTACGAGAGGATCAAAGTTTAGTTTAATTAAAATTTACCAACATAAATAGATTCGAGTGGTAAGCAGCTTGATATTGCTTAAGAAAAATCTTGAGTTCGAGTCTTTATGTATGCAGAAAATCTCTGTTGGGAAACACATACACCAGAGTCAGGTGTGCAATACAGATCAGTTCAGATTAGTCAAGATAAAGTATTGAAACTGGGATAACAACAAAAATAATTAAATTATTTGGATCTGAAGCTGAATTAACCCACAAAAGTGATGAGACTAACGACCTAAAAATTTTGAGAGCGATTATAAAGTAATAATTTAAAAAAAATTTAAATATTTGATAATAAAAATTCATATATCCTTACAGAAATTATGTTCGAACTCGAAACTATAAAGAATAACAATCCTTTTAATTATATTAGAACTAATTATTTTTAGGTCCCTCGGATAAAAAAAATAAGACTTAACGCTTTGCACGTTTTTAGTTTAAATATCTGTTAAGATTCTATTAATTTAAAATTAGATAAATTATATTTAACTTTTTATTTTTTAATATTTTTAAGTATTTATTAATTTTAAAATTATTTTTTTAAATAATCAAAATGATTATAAAATAATATTTATTCAGTTTTTCTTAATTATTGACAACGTGTACCCAACAGATTAAGATGCTTAAACTAAAATCTTCTGTGAATAATAACATTATTTTTTTGAAATTTTGATATCAATTTCGTCTCTGTTTATTATATTAAATTTAATTTTGTTTTATAACGAAATATTTTTTTCTTAGGAAAATTGCCTCAATTCAGTGTAACATCAAAGTCACATGTCATGGTCTGTAGCTCAATGGCCAGCTCTCATATGCAGCCAAGGAAAAGTGGGTTGGCGCACGTGCACCTTGTGGGGACCCACTCATCAGTCGGCTCAGAAATAATTTGACTGTCACAAGGGTCAAGTCAACTTGATCAAACTGTGATCCCCATCTAATTACAGTATTATAATTCTATTCATAAAACTCACTTGGGCTCAGTGTTTTGAAAACCAGATTGGATCGGACGGTTCAACCGGGAATTGCTTTCTGATTTGGTCTATTCTATTATGGTTGGATCGGTTCTAATGAATCGTAAGGAATCGGTTCAATCTAAATATTTT